TCTCTGTATGTCACATTACAGCAAAACAATTTCATTATAGCTCTACCTGTAAGAAAAAATGCTGGAGGAGGGTTTCTACAGAAGAAATAAACTCTTCATATGCTGTAGTTGTTTTGTGCTTGACTTTTGATCTTTGGATGCTGGTGTTTATAAAAACTGATTAGCACTTGGGTATTTTTTTCCCTGTTATATTCATTATTTTTTATATTGATATTGGCTACAATAATTTAATCTATTTTATCTTAGTAGCTAAAATTCTCCCAGATTGCTGTATTAGCATAAAATCATCCTTTTTATGTTATTGCTTACCTGCAGTAAGGTATGAGAACACCTGAAGCCACAGCTGAAGATTTTTTTCATTCCAATTCTTTGGATATGTAAAAAGCTCAGATCTTATATTGTCAAATGGATACAGAATTTGCTCAATTATTTAAAAATGGAACTTCAAACCAGACTGTACAAAACAGGCAGAGCTTTTAGCTGGAATTGTGGCACAGGGCAGGAAGGTTCTTTGGTGAATGTGTGTTTGGCTATTTCTGCATTTTGGGTTTATGACATTAAAAACAGGAGGAGGCAGATTTCAGTTGTAAGACTCTTTTTTTACGGTTATCTTTTTGGAGGCAGATTTCAGTTTTCAAAATTCCAATTTTGACTGTAGGGAACATTCAACAACTTCTCTCTTACATTGTCTCTTTGTGCTAGAAAAAAAAAGAGTCTGCTTCAGGTTGCTCAGAAAAAAACTGGCATTTTCTCCTGTCACCTGAGTTGTACAGTTTCTGACAACAGCCACCTGTTTTCTGCTCTTCAGAAAACCCCACCAGGTGTGAAAGCCCTGTGGGGATCTGCTCCCTCAGCACCTGCAATAACCCCAGCCACCAGCCCAGCAGCTCAGCACAGCAGCAGAGGGGAATGAGGACAGAGAGGCTGGAAATGGAGAATTCCAGGGGAAACAGCTGAATTTCAGAGCTGTGCTCTGCAGGCTGCCAGCAGAGTTATCCTCTCCCAAGCAGCTGCACACCTCACTGGGGAGTGGCACTGCAAGCACAGCTCCAGCCTGGAGTTGTGCTGCTGATGTTCCTCCCTAATGAGCTTGTCCGGCCCCCATCTCAGCCTCGTGGTTCGTTTGTGCCTCCTGCAATCCTCCTCTGCAGCTCCTGTCATGGAACGGGGCACCAGGAGCTGCTGAGCTCCAGCCTGGGACAGGGGATCAGTCTCTGAACAAATCAGATAATCTGTGCAGCTCTTTTGAATGTGTGCAGGTAATGATGCTGTCAGTGCAGATACAGAAGTTCTTACTGCTTGAGCTGTGCTTTTCTATTAAATAACTTAAATATTTAACAGATTTTCCAGCCATCTCTTTCTGTGTTCAGGGTGTGCTGTTACTTTGGCACTTTGTGCAGTGTTCCTGTCCAGGTCCCCTTTTTCTGAAATGGAGCATTAGTGACTTCAGGGAGCTTTCTCTTCTCATTAAGCAGTTTCCTGATCCAGATTTCAGGATAATTTGACAAATTGTGTGGCTGTGTGGTTCTAGACAGGCAACATCTGGGGTCGTTTTGGCAGTCAGGATTCATTCCCTAAACTCATATATCCATTTCCATTGATTGACTCATTGATGATGGAACAACCTGAAACATCATGAAACAAAAACAGGGAATGGGGCAGCCCTTTCTTGTTTATTTTCCCCTGCATTTGGGATGAAAAATAATCCTGCCTATGCTAATGGCACCCTCTTGCCCCCTTTAGAGGTTTTCTCTTTTATTTTTCTGTTTTACTTTTTAAACCAGAAATTACATCTGGGATTTACAATGCCAGAAAGGAACCACCTGAATCTCCTGCCAGGAGACAGAATTTTCCAGGCCCAGGAGCATCATTTCCATGGTGTGGCTCACAGGAGCAGCAGATATTTAACTCAGGAGGAGCAGAGTGTGTGGCTGGGAGAGCTGAGGTCTGGCCTGGCAGCTGTGATCATGATTCAGTCTGGCAGCTCTGGGGCTCTCTCAGTGACTCCACGGAGATGAGGAGCCTGCAGGAATTAGAGAGATCTGGATTTTGGCAGTGCCATCCACGAGGCTCCTCACCTGCTTCATCATTGCCATAAACCACTATGGTTGTGAAAAAATGAAGGGATGGGACTAGTGTTGAGTTAAGAATGATTTATTGTTCAGATAAATTAGTTCTAGAGGTTGTGAGGTTTTGGAGGAGTAAGTAGTTGGTTATCGTTTAAGAGTACTTACAAGTTTTATTTTAAATAACATAATATATAATTATTTAACTTAATATATAGTTGTTATAAGGGTTTATTTTGTTTTTTTAAACTTATTGCTTTTACTTATTTTTGTTGTATTATGGATACCTTTGTCTAACAGGCTTTTGTTTTACATATATACTTGTTTCTCTTATAACTTTAAAACTTTTAGTTTATTCTATACAACTACACTCTTACATTATAAACTCTTTATCTCATTGGTATAATTTTTCACTTAAGGTATATTCTTTTCTATAACTATAGAAATATAAGCTTATGATTTGTTTAATATCTGTGTATTGTATTTTTACATTAATCTAAGTTTCTTTTCAGGTTGCAGATTAAATTTTTCTGGTTGATTCCCACAAACTGTAATTCTTTGTTTTCAAACATGGCCACTGAATTAGAATTGGTGCAGTTTAAATTTGGGGGATACCCATATGCTGGCTCTTTTCCCCTCTGGAGCAATCTCCTCCCTTCCCCATCCCTTTGGCTGCTGACTCTGGAAGCCCAAAAGAAGCCACAGCTTCCTTCAGTCCTCTCCCTTGCCACAGTGGGGTTTGGTGGCAGCACAGCATCAGGATGTGGGGATAACTTTAATAACTTTCAGGGTTTATTTGCAAGCACATTTTCCCATTTGGTGGTTGATTAGAGTTGTTTGATTTAAAATTTAAAATTTTGGATTTAGACATGCCTAAATCTAGAACAACCCAATGTCTCTGTCTTCTACAAAAGCATTGATTTACTGTCATTTTCATAATAATTTTATCTTTTCCCCTTTATTGTGCCCCACTCAGTCTCAGGTAACCACTGACTTGCATCAGCACTTCTGCTGTGCTGAAAAATTTCCTTTCATCTTCTGATTGCCTTTATGGATACATTTTTCTGTGTTGTGCTGTATTTTAAATTTTATATTGACACTAATTGAAGTTGTCATTGGCATGTAAGCAATAAACTCCAAGATAAAGCAAAGCACTTATTCTTTGTGAGGTGGATTTCTCACACACATTTCCTGCTCAGTCCTCCTCTGTTTTGCAGAAGATCTCTCTGGCTGATTACACTTGCTGGGATCTAAAATACCCTCTGGTATTTATAGATACAGTGACCAAACTGTGTCCTTTGCTGCTTAACTCCCCTTAAAAGCAAAGTGACAGGTTTCCAGAGCTTTTATGCAATAACAAATTATTGGGAGAGGTTTTTTTCCTGCTTGTTTCCACAGGAATAATCAACCAGGAGGATCCAGTTCATCATCCTTGCAGTGTGCTGCTGAGTGTGCAGAATGAAACCTGTTCTGGGGGAAGCCAGGCCCTGCCCAGCTGGTTGGGAGCTGGAAAAGGCATCCCAGCGCATCCACTTAGTCATCAGCCTGGCATGAGTGCAAGTCAAGAGGAAAATAGAGCAGGGGAGGGAATTCCTTCAGTGCTGCAATGAGATGTGATATTAAACAGATGACACACTACTGTCACATACAGCTTGCTCTTTAAACTTTTCCAAAGGAGAATTATTTTCTTTGGTTACACTGTTTGCTCTTGGGGAAAAAAAAAAAAAAAAAGTTGGGAGTTTTTTTCTCATCTGGAGCAATTTCGTCTTGAACTGGACGATCTGGCCCTTACCACGGAGTTTTAGCTGTGATACAGCCTAACAATGAAATTAGTTCTCTCCCTGGTATTTCAATCTAATTCTCTGCAGTCAGCTAAGGTAGCAAAGTGTTTCATTTCTCCTGGATTTCCCTCCAAGCTGGAGGCAAAGCCTTGAATCATTTCTCAGAGTGAACTTAGACAGGGAGAATGGCTGGCAGGGAAGGCACTGTCCCCAGTGCCAGCTGTCAGAGGTCCAAACACTTCACCAAGTGCTTGTTTGTGCTTTGTTTGCTTTCCATACAACCCCAGTTTATAATCTTCTTATTGGTCAGCCTATTTCCCTTTTCTGCAGTTGAAAATTATTGTTTCTAGTACAAATACCCATGTTGGCATATGTCAAGAAGGGTATTCTTTTCAATTCTTTATCCTCTGCTTTGAGGAAGAAGTTTAGGCAAAAATATTAATGTGTGATATTCATGATCATCCTCTAATATAAGCATAAATTAACAGTGGGCAATCACAGGCTCTGAGAGTTGATTTTGTTTAAATGTTCATTAAATTCTTTCATGTTCTACATCCTGTGGGGGCTGCAAAAAAATCTGGGTTCAATTCAGCGTGTTTGAGACTTTCTGTGTGAATTTGAATTACTTAATGGATTTGAACTACTTTGTGCTTGTTATCTGGATATCTCACAGACATGGCTGACCCAGTTGTGTTGGACCATGAGTGCTGCTGGCAGCAGAGGCTGTGTCCTGGCTGGATGTTGTTAGTGTTGTAAAGATGGTTAGATTAAACATATAAAAGATTTAATATCATTGCTTTTTGGAGATCTGTGTGTCCCAACCCAAACATTCCTGCTTAATCTTAACCCAGGCACCCACAGCCATCCTCTCAGCCAAGACATGTTTCTCCTCACAGTTTGGTTCATGCCGCTGACCGCACACCCAGACTGGGTGGTGTTAGTGTTGTAAAGATTGGTTTTGGAGATCTGTGTGTCCCAGCCCAAATGTGTTCCAGCCCAAATATTCCTGTTTAATTTCAACCCAGGTACCCACAGCCACCCTCCCAGCCAAGGAGGATGTTGGGGAGAAACATCCTCCCTCCAGGATGTTTCTCCTCACAGTTTGGTTCATGCATCTGACCTCGCACTCTATCCATCTTCTTCTTTCCCCGAGAATTACGGTTTGGAGACTGAAAACCTGAGGACTCTGTCTCACAAGCTGAATGCCTCAGCCAAAAACCTCCAGAACTTCATCACGGGTAGGAGGAGGAGCGGCCACTACGATGGCAGGGCCTCCAGACGGCTGCCAAATGATTTCCTTACCTCTGTAGTTGACCTGATTGGTGCTGCCAAGAACTTACTCGCCTGGCTGGACAGGTAATTAACTGTTCCTCAGTCCCTTGTGCATGAGAATAATTCTTTGGGGAGTTTTGTGTTTGTTCTTTCTCTGCCTCTTAGACTCTTATTATAAAATTAAAATGGCAGGTCTGGAATTCTAGCTCTAAATTTTTAGAATTTTGTGAAATATTGGAATCAAAATTTAGTAGCTTTCTCTGTCAGGAGAGTGTTAAAATTTGCTCTAGATACCTTTTGAGATTCTTTCATTTGGATTTTTGTGTGAATTGAATATTTCTGTGCTATTCTCACTGCTACAACTGGTAATATCAGAAATTTTAGAATGAAGGGCAAGTAAGGAAAGCTTGTGGAGTTTGAGCTGTCTGTCAGCCATCAAAATGACACAGAAAATCTGGAGTTGAGCAAATCAATTAAGAATGTTCAAAATAAATTACAGTACTTGCTTAGTCTGAAAATTAAATGCTCTTATTTATCAGGAGTAGACTGAATATGTTAGGTGAAGATGTGATGGTTAATGCTCAACAACCAGCATTGGTGTTTTACATTTATCAACTGAGAATTTCATTAAAAGTATCTCTGTGACTGTGGCAAGACAGAAACCAAGACACAAACCAGAATTTTTCTTGTTTGGAAAAAACAAACATTGGCTTGTTTTTCTTTGTGGTTCTAGCAGTGAATGGCTTTATTTGGAACGGGAATGCTCTGGAACATTTAAATGGCACCTTAGAAATCACAGTGAGAGTGAATCACCCTCCTTTACAGGATTCGTATAATCCTGGTGACATCTTCCTAACCTAATGCCAGCAGTCATATTCTCTCAGGCTATGACCTTGTCAGCTCTTATAGCTTCAAACAGGGTCAGATTCAGCCAGAATTTGCAAAGCCTGAAGAGAATCTGAGTGTGCAGGAAGCTGTGAGTAAGTGAGCATCACTGGGCTCTCTGAATTAAGGTGCTGATTGCTGCTGAGGAGTGATGTCATACCAGAAATGCCATCTTTTAATAAGCACTACAAAGAAAATCTGGGCTGATTATGGTTATTTGAAAGCTCCTATTTCTAATCTCCATAAGAGTGAGAACTTCTGGTGCTCTGGCCAAAATCCAGTTTGCATCCTGCCTGCATTATTTTTGTTTCAAAGGTGTATATTACAAAAGTTGTGCAACTTGCTGCTGGAGATGAGAATGATGATTTGGCATTTCTGTGCTGTAGGACTCACCCCTGTATTAGATATATCTGCCTGTAGTGTAAGTTGTGGTCCCTAATTCTGCACAAACCTGTCCTTGCCCTGCCCCAGGTCTCCGTTTGTCAGCGTGACAGAATATTCACTGCTGAAAAACAACATTGTTCAACTGTGCCTGGAACTAACAACCATTGTGCAACAGGTAGGAGTGGCTCTCTGCTCTGAGGCCTTTCACATCACTGCTTAAATACTGCAATAGTAAAAATAACTCTAACAATACAGCTCTAACAACAGAAAAGTTCTTACAGCATTACCTCCCTGTTCTTTACTACTTTCATTTTTTTGGGGAGGGACAGGAAGATTTCTGGACTTTGGGGATCCTCCTGGATTGATTGAAGGATGGTGTGAAGTTAAAAATAATCCACTTTGCTCTTGAGTGGACAACTTCATGTCAGGTGATTTGCCACCATGCAAGGGTTAGAAGAATAAAACCACAGTGGGAAACAGCTTAAATACTGCTAGCAGGTTATTCCAGATTAAAATGTGTGTGATCCAAAATGTTTTGGGGACAAGTTCTTAAAATGCATGCAAATATATCCAGAACCTGCACTGGCTTCTTCACTGAAAGGAGAGCCAGCAGCATGGAAGTTTTTAGGAATGAGCACAAAATATTCATAACATTAAACCAATTAACTACAGAACAGATAATGGCAGCAGTGTTATCATCACTGACAGTCATTAGTTAATTGTAATATACAAGTCCACAAGTACATAAAAGTAATTTATGTGGTCTTTAGTTCTATATAAAATATAGAATTGTAGAATATCCTGGGTTGGAAGGGACCCATCAGAATCAGCAAGTTCAGGCACCCCAAAAATCCCACCCTGTGTGTGAGGGCATTGTCCAAACACTGCTTGAATCAGGCTTGGAGCTGTGACCCCTATAAAAATAGAATAGAATAGAATATTATAATAACAGTCTCTAGCAATGTCTGCCCCTGAAGTGAGGCAAGAGGTGACACACAGGTACTGAAAGACCGAGGGCAAATTAATTTTACAAATATTTACAATAAGCTGCTCCCCTTGTGAGCAGATAAAATATTGATGAGACAAAAGAGTGTCACTGCAATATGTGGAGAGGTCAGAGAACAGGCAGGGCTGTCTTGGAATGAAGAAAAGGAAAAAGATGAGAGGGTTGAAGGAGGGCAAGCAAGAGGAAAGCTTAGCTTAAGCTGCAGTTATAGGGGCTCTAGGCTGGGCCTGTCTCCCTGCCTGCCTCTGTTCTCTGCTGCCACAGATTCCCAACAGATCAACCACAGAACTCAATTTCAAATGCTTTCTGGAGCAGTGATGGAGTAGTAGTTCTGAAAACTTTTTTTTTTCTCCTCCACTTCAATTTTATTTCAGTTCTTGGAGCTAAAGAACTAAGGCTGACAAATGTGTCATTGTATTTTACACTATTATCCTTAATTTATACAAGTCAGCTTTATTCCTCCTGGAAATCCTGTCCTTTATGCATTTTTGCAGCAGAAAACAAAGATCCTTTTTCTCTTTTCTTAGTTTAGAAATTCCTGTGTCGGCATTTAATTATTTATGTATCTTTATTAAGCTTTCTCTTACAAGGTGCTTATAGCACCAGGCTATTTTTGATTTACAGACTAAGCAAAATGAAATTCTCTACAGCATAAAAAGTCCAGGTTCTGATCCTGTCCTTCAGCTGATATTGCACTTTGTTTGTGTGAGTTTGATTTTTCCCTGTGGTCCAGGTGAAAATGGAGTAATTTTGAATTGCTGCCTCCACTTCTGTTGTTCATGTCCCAGCTTTTGGCAGATGAGATTCTGTTCTCCTCTCTGAAATTCTGCCAGCAATAGTTTGATTCTTTATTTTTTCCAGTCCTTCAGCTCCAGTCCCACAGCTGTCCTCCTTTTGACAACTTAAAAACAATCTTTTAGCATAAACTCCAAGTCATTCCAAGATGAAAAATGCCTGGTTAGTGCACGGGTTATGCTTTAAAAATGCTTCAGGTTACAAATCAAGTTTTGTCTTTTCTTTATCTTATTGTCAGATCTGGCTTGTTTGATGGTTGCCTATTAAGTTCTTTTTATGTTATATTAAAGTTAGCACCAGAAAGAGCAGATAAAACCAAATCAGTCATAGAGAGACAACTTTGCTGTCACTAAATCTGAGAAAAATTGACCTTAATGTGTGAAAGCAGAAATGTCTCACCTAGACCAGAACTGCAGGCTCAGCTGTGGGCTGGAATATGAATTGAAAGGCATAACTAATAGAAACGTGGGTCTCGGATCCTTTCAGATGCTCCTTGTTTTATGAATTATATACATTTTAAATACCTCCTTCAGCCAGAGTGAAAGTAGCAGTCAAGGGTACAGATCTGGCACATTAAGTGGGAAATGTCTTTGACATTTTGTGCAAATTGAACATAGTTTGTGTGCACGACTTGCAGCTGCCACTCCAGGTGAATTTTCTAACAGGGGACATTACCCTGTAACCTTAGTTTAATACAGAAAGTGCTTATGAATCCTCATGCTCAAATGTCCTGTGTGCTCTGGGTGACATAGCCTTAGATCAAATTTATTTTAATGTATTATTACTATTTACATACCATGCAAATGCTATGATGAATAGCCACTTATTTAACTTTAAACAGCATCTGCTCATGCTGGTTAGAAGAAAAGCTCATTCTCTAATTTTAGAGGAGATTTGCAGCTGTCCATTTCTGTTGGGAAATGTGCTTTATTCTGCTCAGTTTTCTGGACCCTTTTGATCAAGCTACAGTAAAAGAATTATGTCATGCACAGAGCTGCAGAGACATCCTGATTTTGAGGTGCAATGTCCCATGAAAATGTGCTTATAATAATATACAAAAGAGCACACTAAACAGGATATTGAGATGTTTGAGCTCTCTGCTGCCTTCACCATGAGCTCTATCTCAGTTCCAAGGTGCACTCACTGCTCCAAATGGGATCCACCAGAATCACTGAACCAAATTTGGGGTTCAGCACCAAGGCTGCCCTGAGGGAAAGGCAGAGGAGCTGGGGAAGAATAGATTTGGATTTTTGTTCATAAAATGCAGGCACTGGTTAATTTTTCATGGAGTAGGAAGAGTTCCCCAGTCCCAGAGGCAGCTGGGATTCTAATTTTCCCTCATTATGTCGAAGATGTTTAAATCTGAGGTAGATGCTTTTGATACAGCTGAAGAACAAACTTTGAACAAAAAGAATCTTTGTCTTACCAAAGAATGTCAGCACAACTCAACCTTTTTCCAATAAAAACCAAACCAAGCACAAAATTCTGCTTGTTCTTCCCTTCATTACTGTCTAATTAGCCTCACTGAGATAAATTCAGATGGCTTTATCTTATAATGGATTATTTTTTTATAATGGATTTTTTGAAATTACCTTATAATGGATTTTGCTCTATTTTTAGCCAAATCCTGTATTTAGGATGAAGCATGGCTCTTCTGGTGTTTAAAAGCCACCTAGTTGGCACTGCAACTGAAAGGAATTGTTGTTCCTTAGTAACTTCTGTATTTGGTGTAAATTTTAAATCAGCCTCCCCTGAGAAGGTGGTTGGACCAGATAACCTCCAGAGGCCCCTCCACCTGAATTATCCTGTGATTCAGCAGCTGCCATGCAAAACCTGGGTGTTATTTTCAGTTTGAACTTTGCAGACTTCAGCTTTCAGCCCCTCCATCTTATTTTGCTTGCATTTGCTAAAGAACCTTTCATCAAACATCTGTTCACTCTTTTCTAAAAATACACTCTGATCAAGTCTCTACCTTTGAACCAAGGAAAATGAGTCAGTTCTGTGCACTTGCCATTGTATATTTACCTAATTCCAGAGTGATCTCTTTCTTTAGAATGTCTGAATTTCAGAAGTATTTAATTTTATGCATGCCAGCAATGTATTTTGAAATATCTCTTTGTCATTCCACCGCTCAAAGGCTGCTGTAGAACTTCCCTCTGGTGTTGTGGTGGGAAATGCTCCTTTACAGGATTTTTGTTTCTTTTCAGTAGTTGACTTAACCCATGCTGTTTTATAGAACAAAGTTAATAAACTCAATATTTCACTTTTTTTAATGTTTTGGTTAACTGTCCTCAAGAACTTGCCATAAAACACTCTTTATGGTATCTGCAAAATGTTGTGGTACTTGCACTTTTTCCTTCTTTCAGAATTAGAAATTGAAATTTTGAGTAGAGTGTGGGTGAGCACAAGTCCCACTGACCTTTCCTCTTTATGAATATGCAGAGGAGCAGTTTCACTTTGTCAGGGACAAAGGTGGGCTTTGTCAACTTTGGATATTCAATTTTGGATATTCAGGACAGTGCAGTCCTTCCCTGGCTTGCAACACTGCTCCTGTGACTGGTTTTGTAATTCCTGGGGTTTATCCTCTTACAGAGGGGAAATAGAACACAGCTACTAATTTAAAGGTTATTTTAAACTTCAAGAACAAATATTTTTATCATGTCATCTTTCTACTGTAGAGCATAGAAGGAATGTGACTATAACTATTATTTATTTTCTAAGAAAAATACATCAACATCCTAAAAATGGTAGTCCTGGAAGATTATTTTTTTAATGAGATCCCTAGTGCATTACTATGTATCAGAGAAAAATAAATCAGAAGGTTTTGTGACCTACATATCTTAATATTTCAGTGTAACACTGCAAGTGCTTTTAACCTCTCAGTTAAACTAGTCTGATGCATTTTAAAAAGAAGTCAATATGCATCTATTTTGGAAGGAATCCCAAAGCCATTAACATTTTTCATGCTAATGTAATCTTGAATGTGCAACATAAGTACAGCTAACATTAATTCTGCTCTACAAAACAGTAAAATTTCAGTTTTACTATACATAAGTCTTCTATTCTTTGACCTGAAGTAATTAAGTTTGTTCCGAGGGAGGTTCATATTGTATTTCTAGCACAGAAATTAAAGGAATCATTTAGACAGGAGCATTAGCTCTGGAGCCAAGCTGGAAGTCCTGCTGTGATCATTTTGTTCTCTTGGTACGTGCAGGGTTAAAAGGAGATGGTGGATGAGCTGTTTGAAGTGTGCAAAACTTGGAGGGAAAACTGCCTTGGGCATTGCCAGCCAAACTGACTAATTGAATTTTTTTTTTTGTGCTCTAGAAAATAACAGTATGAATACAGAGGAAACATCAAAGGGATACTTGACCATGAAATGCTAATATAAATTCTTCTGTGTTGCTTGGCACTCCCAATCTTCTGATTTTGACTTTCTTGTTCTGTAGCAACATTCTATAAACTGTAGCCACTTAGAAATTAATTTCTCTACAGGAGCAGCAATCCTCCAAAATAAATATTGACCTTGAGAGCCGAGGGAGGGGCAGCTCCTTGGGCTGAGGGTTTGGAGCAGCTGCCTCAGATGGGCTCAGTGAAAAATCCTCAAAGGGACACCCAGGAACAAGGTCTGGGAGCTGGATGGGAGCAGCCAAGGGCTTGCGCTGCTGGAAAAGGGGGGCAGAGACCTCCAGGCATGTCCCAGCCCAAATGAGTGATCAGGGAACAGGGAATGAGGGGTTGGAATTGTTCTGTGTGAGATCCAGAGCAATTAACTCATTGCTAATGTATTAAGATGCAGTAAAAAGAGAAAACCTTGAGAGCTACAGGGAATCGCAAGCTGTTTGAAGGGATATAACAGAATATTCTGAGCTGGAAGGGACCCACATATCGAGTCCAGCTCTTAAGATAAAACCCTCAGCCTTGGTGTTGCCATCACCAAGCTCTGACCAACTGAGGAAATCTTAAATTCCTTGAAAGGACCTTTCAGACGTTATCAGTAATTTAAATTTTACTTGGAAGTTTATTTAAGGAAAAAAACTAAACAAAGAAGACAGGTTTTTAAAATTATCCCATATCTTGCTGTGTAGAAAGCCTTTTCCAACATGGAAGAGCACTTGGAGAAGGATTTAACAATTTCCCAACAAGAGAAGGGGAGAGGGAGCCTGGCCAGGGCTGTCCTCGGGGAGAGCCTGTTCTAATCTCACTCTGCTGTGAGGAGATATTTTCCTGTATTTTCCTTTTTATTTTCTATTTTAGCAGACTATAACCCGAGATTTGGAGTGGAGCAGAGCTGCAGGGGATGGGTCAAACCCCTTTGCCATGGCTGCCCCAATTTCCAGAGGGTCACACTGAGGGAAATTTCAAACATTAAATAAGTCATAGAGGCCGTTCAGCAATTTCTGTGGTTTGTTTCATGAAACAAAAACAATATTTTTAACCCCTGTAATAGCACTAAAGCAAAAAGCAAGGTAAGGGTGACACTGGAATTATGGAGTGTAAGATTGATTATTCTTAAAATGGCAGCTCAAATAGAAAAGTGACTACTCCAAAAGTAACAAGTCTTAAGGTTCATCAGGAATTTGTAAGAGATTATTAACAGCATAAAACTTCCTTTCATTTCTTAATAGGAAATTTAATGTGACATTCATTTAATTGGTTTTGTTCTGTTTTACCACAGGATTGTACGGTGTATGAAACAGAAAATAAAATTCTTCATGTGGTAAGTAATTCTGCTTTGGTATTCTCTATTTTCACCCCACACATGGAAATGATTTTTTCCAAAAATAAGGCTGCTATTGGAAAATCCTTACTCTTAAGAGTTCCTTACTCTTTGGCATAATTTCTGATGAATTATATCAGTTGCTAAAAATTAAAGTTGCCTGCAGTAATGCTCTGTGTTATAGCTACAGTTAATTACAAATACAGAATTATGGGTTTAGGTTTAGAAGCTGCACAATATTCTGTATATTGAATCTTCTGTATAGTGAATATTCCTACCAGAAAGGCTGGTCAGATCCATGGACCCGCTGCATCACTGATTGTCACACTGAGCAGTTTGTGCCTTCAGAACTCAAAAAAAATTCTGATGACAAAGGGAGTGGAAGAATCTTATTCAAGATTATTGATTAGATATTGGCCTTTAAGCTCAAATACTTTATATTTTCCTGGTAACAGCACAGAAACCTGTACTGACACTGAGATAAAGCCTGTGGTGAGAGGGAACTCTCATAGGATTTACAAGTTCAGATAAGCTTTTGACAAGCTCTGCCCAAGTGCCTGACTCTTTTTCTTCTTCTATTTTTTAAAGCCTTTTGCACATACTCTGCTTCCAGCAGGGATTAAAATCTGTCATAAAACATTGATGTGCTGTTAAATTTAGCAAGTGTGCAGTGACTTTTAGAGGGGGAAAAAAAAAGCTTACTATAGCAAAGCTGGTTATGAATAGAACTTTTAAAATCACCTGATACCTTCTGGGATTTCGGGGGTGTACACACAAACACATATATATATATTTATATTTATATATTTGCACATTTTAGCCCATAATTCTGACTGTGGCAGGGACACCTTCCACAGACCAGGTTGATTTAATTGAAAACATCTTTGTTCTTTATTTTAATAAAAAAAAGTATTTCCATGAGGCAACTCTAAGGTTAAAGCATTACAGCAGAAAGTAGAAAGTGTTGTTCTCCCTGGGGTTTAGTCTGCATCTAATCTGGGCAAATGCTCTCCAGTGTTGAGGCACAGAGGGGTTTTCAGTTGGAATTTATGGAATAAGAATGAGAATAAGAATATTCCTACACTGGAGATTTTTGAGATTTTTGAGTTTCTCCATCCCTGCTGGGAGAAGATGAGACCCAAACTCTGCTCAGGGGCTCTGGCCCCGAGCTGAAACTGTTTGAAATATTTGTGGAAATGGTGACCTTTAGCTGCAGCCACCTCAGTGGGATGCTTTGCATCTTGCAGCTGATACAAAACCCAGATGCCACTGCCCAGGCTCCAGAGCTGTCCTTGGATTTCCAGATGAGTAACTGCACAGTGAATGGAAATCCAACCTACACATTCAGGCAGTTAACTTATTCATTGTGACAACTTTATTTGTTTAACTTCTGTGGATAGTGTCAAATGAGATATTAGAAAGCCTCATGGTTTTGCAAATGCCTGAAACAAAACTTCCCTGAAGGGATTTCACTGGAATTTGCTATAATTAGGAAAAATGAGAGTACAGTCCCCAAAGCAAAAGAGATGCACACAGCACAGCCTTGACCAGAATCCCATCCTGAAATTCTGTTAAATGAATTCTTTCAGGCACAGACTTCTTGAAGGAGTGTGCTTTAAGCAACACACAGAAATTTGGGAATAAATCTTTCCAAATGAATGTTGTCTGAGAGTCCAGCTCAGCTCCTCTCTGACCTACAAACTTTGCTCTGACAGATGGGTTCAATCTGCTGCCCATGCAATGGAGCTCCTGCTCTGAAGGTGTTTCTGTGGATTTGCATTAAGATTTTGAGATCTTTAGCTGGAAGGCAGGATAACAAAGTCATTGCATAGTTGTGGTGATGTAGAATATCAGTTAGAGGATGTGCTCAAAGATGCATAAGAATTTTACTGCAGGAAATGGGTTAACCAAGGCACTTCTCTGCCAGGGTAATTTTTAACAAAGGAAATTTTCCAAGTTGAAGAGCACAATTCACCTAATTATCACAGTTGGTAGGGATGATGTCATCATTTGGTAGCCAAAATAGGTTATTCAGTTGCATAAGACATTTCTTTTGACACATTTCACTCAACTCCCATTGAATTTATAATCATAAGGATAAAGTCCATTGGATTTGTTCTTTTACTTTTAAAGTGCATATGGCTGGAGTGGAGAAGATAGTTTAGAGGTACAGATATTCTTCTCCAGCAGAACTGTAAATACATGTACACTTCCTTGACATTTATGGATATTTTCTGTTCCTTTAACCACTTGACTTTGATACACCTTTAATTTTTACAGCACTAAGAATTAAAATTATCTGTTTATTCTTGGTGAGTTCTTAGAAAAAGAACTTCCCTTGTAGTTCCAGTTGGATTGGAGGGATTCTATTGACTTGTTTTCCTTTGCAGTGTAAAACCCTGTCTGGGATCTGTGACCACATCATTTCCCTCTCCTCTGACTCTCTGGTGTCCCAGTCTGCTCATCTCGAGGTCGTTCATCTCACCAGCATCATGCCCAGTGAGGGGCTGGTAAGTACCAGAGCAGCTTCAAGTTTAACTCTTAGTATGCCCAGCACAAGCCTCAGTTCTTCAGGATGATTTGGTTCTGGAATTTATCAAGAAATCAAAATGTATTTTCATGCAATGTCCTAATTTTTTTGTAAGCTGAATCAGATTTCTGAAGGTGGTTTAGTTGGCATTTATCTAAACAAAGGGATTGTTTGGGGTCTATTCAAATTAAGACCTGTTTTACCTCAGGCTTCATATGTAACTGTATGTATGTTAAATCTATGATCCTTTGCCAGATTGCAGTTTTTGGAATGTACTGAAATAATCCCCAAATTCAAACACACACAAATAAAATTAACTAATGTCATTCATGTCCTTTCAAAATGATCAGTGGCAAGTCTGTGCCTTGGACTTGCATAAATGGAGTTACATGACTCCCTAATGATCAGTTCAAATAACTTTCAGAAGTATCCTCCCAGGAACCAAATAAATTTCTTTTATTTGTCAATTGTTGCTCACTGAGCAGCCTAGTTGGATGGCTCTGGACATTCCAGCTGCTCTGCCTTGGTGGTGGGTCACAGCAGTGAAATGTTCTGCAGGAACAGTTTCAGAATTATTTGGCTCCAGTTCTCAAATATTGATGTACTGATACGTTTTTTGGGACAATGGATTTTTGTGACATTTTAGTGGTTGGTGGGTAAAGATTTCTGCCTCCCCTCTGCAGTCCCTTACTTTGCAGCCATTTGCTATTGGTGGGCTGCAGGAACAGAAGGATTGTGCTTGGGAGCCCAAGACCCCAATAAAAGCTGGAGTGGGAGGTGGCACTGCAGGCACTGGGCTGTTCTCACTCTCTCCTCAAGAGCCAGGCTGCCTTTCCCAGCACAATCTCCTAAACTGCCTCCAGCTGCCTTCTCAGAATTCCTTTTATTTTTATTTTCTCCCTACAAGAAGAGTAATTCAGGAATGTTGCTTCTGGGTTAAAGGGAGCAGTCGTAGGAGGAAAATGAGGGGGAAGTGGGGAGTGAAATTGACAGCTATGAGGCTTCTCCACAGAAAAACCCCAAACTGGCAAATCAAAACCCACTTGAGTGCCACTCTACACCTTGTGACACGTTTCCTGTTTGTAATTCAGCGTGATTTACAGATTTTCAATTTCTGTTCGTTGAGACACTTTGTATTATTTCAACATCTTCCTCTTTGTTCTGACATTGAATAGCGACAAACGTCATATGCAAATCCTGCCAGAGTTACAAGGGCATAATTACTCTGAGGTATGCATATTAATCTGAGAATGACATATTTTAATAACATGAGGGGGTGTTGTGTGACTGCACAAGTTTACTTTATTCTTAGGCTGATTTAGTCAACAAAGAACATTACCACAGCATAAAGCACATTCAATTTTCATTCCGTGGCATCGCAGATGCTCAGCCCAGTGTGTAATCCTGAGCACAGCTACAATTCCCTCCCTGTGCTGCTGCATCCTTATGGCCAAACTCGTTCCCTTTATGGCCCAGTTTCCCCTCTAGCTCTGGTTTCTGGGTTAGTGCAGGGTGCCCAGGAAATACAGGTCAGTACATTTGCAGGGGATGCACTGTGAATGTCCCAGGGCTTTTGACTTGCATTAGGATTCCTACACCTTGCAGGCCAGCACTCTGCACGCCTTTCCCTTCTGTGCAGAAATGGGATGGATTTCTGCTGGTCTAATTAGGGGAAAGTTCATTGTCAGTGCTGCAGAGGAGGTGAACACAGAGGTGCATTTCCCTCAGAGATGATGGAGCACCATAAGCAGGGCTTGGTGCTGCTGATGCTTCCCATGCAGTGATGGCTCTGCATCAGGCTGGAGCAGGACAGGAGTGGAATCTACCCCAAAAACAGCATTTCCTGGGGGGAACTGAGATTTCCTGGTGTGCAGGCTGAGGCAGGTGTCTGACAGGAGCTCTTGGAAGGAACCATAAAGTGCCATAAAGTGTTGGAATGTTATTTAAGCTGTGGAGTGACCAAAGTGAGAGTTGTTGCCTGAGATGTTGGGGCCCTTTCCTGTGGTTCACATTCCCTTTTTCCCTGCTAGAACTTGAGGATCTGTGCTGGAATGGCCCTGCCTGGATGGGCAGAAGAACCCCTGTGTGGTTCTCCATCCACAACGTGCCCATGAGTTAAGAGCCAACAAAGGAGCAGGGAGTGGGCACTGCTGACAGGGGACATGAGACAAATACTGCAATCAAAACTGCCTGGCAATTTCTCCTCTTTTTTCCCCCTTTTTCCCTTAGATGAAGTGAAATCACAGTGAATGAATGAGTTTTCTGTGCCTAATTGTGAAGGCACTGTAACGTGTTAGGTTGGAAAGTTCCTTGTAATCAATTTTGCTGACACTGTGTTCTGTTTAGAAGAAAATATGAAAAAAGGACTATAAATGGGAATAAAAGAAAAATCATGTGAAAACGAAAAGAAAACATTAATCAGAATCAAATATAGAACAGAGTAATGAATTACAAATGGCTTTCTCATGATTGTATAGAGGATTTTTTTCCACAGGATATCTGCTCCATTCAAGAGAGAAATGAGCACTATTCAGTGAATGGAAAGTATTCAGAGTTCCATTTTTATCCTTATCATTCAGTGTAGGGGTTGAGGCCTGATTTACCACACTCCAACTAAGCTCTGCAGTCCCTGGAGTTACTAATTTAATCGTGAGTTGTTTTATTTATTTTTTATATGGCCTTCCTGAGTGCTTCACAGACACTAATTAATTCATCCTCACAACACACTTGTGAAAAGGATATTGTAATTTTAGTTTTAGAGGTAGGAAGCTAATGCACAGCAGTTGGTGTCAAAATTACCAAAAATGTGTTTTTCAAGAGCAGCTTAATGTACAATATTTCAGGACATTTTTTACCTTTATAGCATAAATTTAAAATCCAGGCTCTCTTGGGTTTAAATGTAGCTCTAATTTTCAGAGCTACTGAGAACAGGGTTCATCCAGGGTTGGCACCTGGAAAACAAACACAATTATTTGCTATTGGAGTGTATTGTAAATCACTCAGATTTACCAAAGAATTCAGTTATCTGGAATGATATTCAGCTGACTGAATTATTAGTCTTCCCAAGTTTTCAGAACTCCTTTTGCAAAATTTTTATTACATGCCTTCTAATTTCTCCCCCTATGAGCCAGGAATCCTATTGACACTGCAGAAGCTCCCACATAAATGGAATTAATTTCCAGGTCCAGGTCCACGCAGTCTGCACGGAGTCAGAGCTCCTGCAGGGCACTGTCTGTGTGTTTAATTGTGTAAATAAATTCTGGACCATAAAGCATTTTCACAAAGGGACTCTGAGTCTTTGGAATGTGCATCTTCAGTTGTAGCATTTTGAACTTTCCGTCTGTGCTTTTATGAGCTTTATGTCGCCCTTTTCTGTTTTTTCCTCTCTAAAATCCCTTCTTTGCATTCAGCTTTATTAAAGCCTGGCCTTATCTGCAGCCTTCCCAGGGCACTCTGTGTGCTGTGCTTTCCCGGCAGTTTGCTGGACAAAGGAATTTGCATTGGGAACACTTGGGGTTTGTTCCAGCTCCTGGGGACTCTGTTTGCATCCTGATCTCTTCAGGCATTTGTTGGCCTCCAGAAATATATTGGGATTTTTTCCTTGCTTTTTCCATTCCTTCCCCTGCTTCACCAGTCAAATTGGTTCCTCCTTTTCCCTATTTACCACTGATTTTTCAGTGGAGAATACTGAAATGCTTTCCATGTATTTTCTATATCATTTTGAAGTAACTTTAAGGATTGTAAAGCACTTTTTCTCCTGAATTGTAGTACTGGGTATGGTAATACCATTAATATCTGAAGTGCACAGCATAATCAGCATGAACAAGATGTCTGGAAGGCAAAGCTTTGTTTCAAACAATCAATTTGACAAACTTCAAACAAATTCCTGCACTAAGAAAGTATTAAATTGTGAGAATCACCGTTAGCTCTGGCAGAACATGCAGACATAAATTTTTAAGAAATCGAATAGAATAAAATAACTTTGTGATTTAAGAAAATTGCCTTCCCACTTTAAATTTTTTGGCTTGATGGATCCACAATAAGCCCTCGAGCCAGGAGTTTGGGTTGCTGTTGGCAGCACCTCAGCTTGCTGCTAAATCCTTGGGGATGGAGGTTGATGAAAGGCTGGAGAACCTTGCCATGATTTACCTCCTCCTGTGCCCAGAGCCAGCTCTGGAGCAGTTTTGCTGTCACATAAACAGGCAGCATTTTACTGGAGATTTTATAGAGATACAGAATGGGATCATAGAATGGTTTTTGAAGTTTGAGGCTTTTTCTCCCCCCCTCCTGCTCTTGGATGATTGGGGATTGTCCATAGTGAGAGATTATTACAGCCAGTATTATTTCAGATGAAACTTATTTTTTTAATCTTCTGAACTTGATGTCCAGCTCATGTACCCAGAGATACTTCTGTGTAAGATGCAGCTTTAATCTTATTTGATGAGATTAATGATTCCTCTTAAGCAGGAGATTCTGAACAGGGAGGCAGTTGGGGTTTTGTTGTTTGGATTTGTATCTTCTGATGTCTGTGAAATGTTTTTCTTCTTTTCTTCTGGAATAAAGGAGGACTTTTATCCCCCTTCCTTTCATTTTTTTATTCTTTTTTTTCTCTGTTGTCTGAGCTTCCCCCTGCTGATAGAATCAGTGTAATCAGACACACTTTAATTAAGATGTATGCTGCTAATATCCAGAGCCTTCTTAATTTTTCTGCAGAGGGAACTTTTCCTGTTTTGTTTTAAGAATTTAAGAAAAGCAAAGATTTTTATTTATAAAATTAAATTTTTTATGAAAGCAGCTGTAATGTTGGAAAACAAAAGAAGCTGAACAAACAGCCAAGCTGTCATATGCACAAATATATTATTCATCTATCCAATGTCCAGTTACCCTTTCAAATAGTGCTTCTCTTTCTGTGGCATTTGTAATTTAAGGTGATGGAAGCCAATCTTTCCCATTTTCACAAGAAAGGAAGTGCAAGGTAAGCAGGAAGAAAAAGTAGAATATGAAGGCAGATTTTTAATGGGAATATGCCTGGCCTGAAACTGTCAGGGTGTTCATCTAATTATTTTGAATTATTTTTAAAGGCTTACAGAAACTTGACAAATTTCCATCATGCTTGACATATAAAGGTTCTCATAGCCTAAAAGCCCAAACAAAGCCAAATTTTCTCAGACAGAAGAATAAAAGAAGTTATTATCTTAAGTATTTTGAGAGATGGAAGTTGTCTTGCAGGAAGGAAAGTAGAGGTGTTTAAATTTGGGTAGAGGGCTACAACATATAAGGCAGAAAAAAAAATTGAGGGGGACTTTTTAATGGTATAAAATTTAAACAAAAAGCTCCATCACCTTCTCAAAGCACTATCATGGCATTCATTTAAATGCATTTGTGTAACTTTGATAGTTGAAATAAGATTAAAGAACCACTTTTTATGGGGCAAAAGATCAAGGGGTGTAAGAGTTCCCTGGTTGTCTGTGGCATTACAAACCTGCATCTTTGCTGTCACTGCTTCCCTGTGCAGGAATAATTGTTGACACTTAAAAACACACTGCTGTCATTATATCCTGCTTAATTAGCCAGATGATTGTGCACGAAAATTTTCAAGGGAATTCCCCTGACAACTGGATATGCTGTTTTCTGGGGAAAAGTCTCTTCAAAATGGGGTTTTAAATGGTTGATGCCTTCCCATATGTTTTCAAAGGTCAGATTTTAATTAAAAACCTTTAATTCACTTTGTCACTAGGGGACAGTGGCAGAGTTGCTCAGAAACAGCCAGGATTCTTGATTTGATGGCTGAGAAACATTTCCCTGTTCTCTAACATAGGTCAGTGCCATTCTGCAGAGTTTAATAACTGAGGTGTCAGGCATAAAGAGCAACTATTTATTTCTAAATGTTCACCAGTCTGAGCCATCTTCACAGAGGAGAATCCTTGACTCCTGCCTTATCTCGAGATAAGGGGTACAGCTTGTTGTTCTTTTCTCTGAGATCATTGTTGGCATTCAATAATAAACCAGAGAGACTGAAACCCCATTCTTGGGGGAAAAAAAAGAAAAAAAAAATAAAGAGAGATTAATCATTTTGAAAAAGAATTAATATATTCTGTGATATTTTGCTTCTAAGGGCAGAAAACAGATCGGTAAGGGAACAGAAAGAAAGTTGGGAGCTGAGTCACTGGGATGGACAGGGCAGGTTGTGACAGGAAAGGGCAGGGTGGGACAAGCCTGGTGGGATGGGAATGGACATTTCTGAGTTTGCAGAGCAGGAGGGAGGCAAACAGAGCTGGGTGCAGAGGGCAGCAGTGGAAACTGGAGGGAAAGAGGCAGGAGAAGCCTCTGTGCCAGGTGTAGGTGCCACTCCAGAAGGGTCTCCCACATTGGCCAAACCTATGCATGGTTTGGCCATGGTCACTCAAGGTGACCCAACAATTCTCTGGATATCATTGCCTGAGCTGAACCACATGAAGTAAAAAATTTATATTAAAAATTTCATATTTTTTTACATAGAATAATCTTTCCAGCTTTCCAGGTAAATATATGTCAAGGGGACGCTCTGCTCCTGGAATGGTCAACAAGGAACAAGCTCATTATTTTTCTTTTGGGAAAACAAGGATGAAAGCTCTGTGTAGGGTAATTTGAAGGCTATGAGTCATTCACTAAAATTGTTTATTTTTAAATATATTCTTAAATTTTAATAACTAGGATGAAAGAGCAGATAACAAAATGTAGGGTAATTCTGTGTGATTAGTCAGGTTTTGCGACTCTCCAATGGCATCTGTTAAGAGATAAAATTATAATTTGAATTTTTCCAAAAATACACAGAGATTAACAAGAGTCTAAGAACTCTAGGAAGAAACAAGTGGTAAATTTTAGTGCAAAGTTTAGCACTCTGTCCTCTTGTGGCCTTAAAGATTTTAATCTGTTGGGTTTTTTGAGCCGGGAATGAATCTTGTCAAAGCAAGTGGGATTTTAGGACTGGGATATTAAATTTGATATAAAAGTGTGGCTGGAAATGTGTTCCTCAGGTTGAGCAAGTGCTAAAAGAGCAGGAATGTTGTGTAATATTCTTGTGAAAAGTTCACTGTGGAAATTCAGCATAACTCTCACTAGATGGGCAAACTTCTGCTCAATTAAATAAAAAACTAAAATAAAATTGGGTTTTAATGGAGATTCCCCATCCCCTTGTCCATGGGAACCTTCAGCTTTCCAAGATCCTCTTTGTGTCCTTGAGTTGGCAAAGGGAACTTTCTCCTTAGCTGCTGGAGGGACAACAGAGACAGCAGAACAGCAAACACTGATAAATTAAACAGCTCTAAAAAGGAAATTCTGAAATGTTCACCAGCAGCTTCTTTCTTCCAACTAATCCCAGTTTGTGAAGCTGATTTCAAGACTGGCAAGGTTTAATTTGGATCTTTGGTTTTTATAAATGAAGTAGTTTGTAAAGCAGACTAATTTAAGAGAACTGAGATGGGGAAACGCAATCTAAAGCGGATTTTTCTACCCAGCATTGCAACCTGCCAGCAATCAGGTTTGGACAATCTTTATTTTTAAGATTTCAATACATTTAAAAAAACTTGCTGAAATGGAATTAGTTTACATTATGGCAGAAGTTTCATTTTCCCATGAAAAATCCAGTCACACCCAGCTAGAGGAGGTTGCTCAGGGCCTCATCCAGTCACAATTTGATCATCTCCAAATCAGAGATTCCACAGCTTTGCCAGCCTGTTCCAGGCTTTTATTTTCCTGATGGTAAAACTGGAAAAAAAATTCCTTACCCAAGTTTCAACTTGTCTCTTGCTTTTCATGCTCCCACTGTGAGGAAGAGTTTGGCTCCATGCCATCTTCCAGTTTAGGTGCTTGTGGAGAGCACTATCACCTAAACTTTGTAGGATTTTCAAGCTTTGGGGGTTTCTTGAGGGGTTGGGAGGTGGTGTTTGTGTGCCCACCCTGAAGATCTCCACTACCATTCAGGAATCTGGAAATTGCTTTCTCTGAACAAAATGCTCTTGGTTACTGCTGGGGACTCTAAACTTTGGGGCTGTGACAGCACAAGGTGATGCAGAGCTATTGAAAGAACAATAAATCAGCAGCACAATGCACCAATTAGATTAATTAGATTTCCAAAGTGATGGATAAGGGTGCTGTGGGAAGAGAGGGGAAGCTCTGGCCTGGCTCCTGAAGGGAGGCACAGGAGCCACTGAGCATCCCTGACGTTGGGCTCTGAGTGTGCTCAGCTCCACAGATCCCTGCTCTGCTCGTCCCTTTCCATCTTGTCAGTCCTCTCCTTGAAGCAGAATTCTTGATGGACTAATTACAAAGCTCCTGTTACTTCACTAAGCTCATTTCCCCCATAAATTAGCAGTATGAGCACTGGCTCCTGTCTTTTCTGAGTTTGGCTCTGGCTTCACTTTTACTGAATCAGGAACTCTTTGAAAATGGGGCATTTAAGTTTAAAACCTACTACTGCTCATGCTTTCAGTTTCAATACTTCTTTTATGTCACTTCTCATAAAAAGAAATCCTGTTAAATATTTCAAATACTGAACAGGCACAAGTTTTTATGCTGATGCTCTGTGCTGAACTCTGCTCACAAACTTTAGAATTAAAAAAAAAGCATTAAGTGAGAAAAGTCTGCTATTTATAGTGGTCTTGATATAGATTTGTTAAACTTGGATTTGCAAATGTTAATTGACCACAGCTCCTTCCAGTCTGTTCAAATGTTATGGTCCTTAGAGCAAATCTATTATTTTAATTATCATGCAAATGTTTCCTACAAATATTAATTACCCTTTTTGCTCTTTATTTTGCAGGGAATGTATATCAAATCAACATATGATGGACTACATGTAATCACAGGAACAACAGAAAATGTAAGATCCTTTATTTTAAAATACTTTCATCATGCTTACAATTATTTTCTCTGTATCTGCAGTGCACTTTGTAATATGTAAGCTTGCTTTAAACCAAGCCACTTTTTATTAATATATTTTTTCTTTTTTTATATATATGTATCATATTACCTTTTTAAAGACTTAGTGCCCTTGAACACAGACATAGAAAAGCCACTGTGTTGAAATTATTAATAATTAATGCTATAATAAAGGAAATTCTCAAACTTCTGCCCTTAGTGATTACTCAAATATTTCTTTCTAACAACATTCACTCACTTTCTCTCTGGCAAAAGTGGTTCCCTTGTACTTATATTAAGTACATTATATATATATATATATATATGTGTGTATATATGTGTGTATATATATATATATATAATGTACTATATATATATATATATAATGTACTTTATATATATACACACACACGTACATGTATATATATCATGTACTTAATATATATATGTACCTGTATATATATATTAAGTACATATATATACATATATATTAATATATATATGTACAATATATATACAGTACATACAATACAATACATATATACACAATATATACTTATATTAAGTACATTATATTTTATATTTTCTATCATTTGTAGTAAATACACAGACGAGATCAATTATAATTTTTATTGTAACCCCAGAGGCATTTGAAAAACCTGAACTAAAATCACAGAGAGTTTTGCAGCTCAAAGATCTGTGTGAGGTTTGAGGGAGCACTAAAGAGTGTGACAGGAACAACAGCTCAGCCTCTAAACATCCTCCTCGTTCCTTAACATGCAGTTCATAATTATAAATTTGAATAATTAAATTGCCTTCAACTGCTGCCATCTAATTACTGTGGCAGACTTTATAACAAAACCCTTCTGGTTCTCATCTTCCAGTCACTGCTCCCACTCAGGCTCGGGTGTGTCCAGAGCTCAGAGCTGGGCAAGTGACAGCTTTAGGTTTTATCGAGCTGATATTGGAGTTATGGATTGCTGATGCCCAAGGAGCATCACACGAGCTCTGTGAGATGTAAATCCTGCCTGGCAAGTGCCACTGCTCTGCTGGCCCATATGGGTGAGCTCCATGTGGGATATTTTAATTGATTTATATACATTTAGTGGTATTTATATGGGCTTTGTCAGTGCAAACCCATGGAAAGCCAGATGATTTGTATGTCACAATTTGGGAAGACAATTCTAATGCAAATTAAACTTGAAATTTGTTTGTTTATATTGTCACCATTGGCAGCATTTAGAAGTCTAAAAATAACTACATGTGTATCTTGGGTGCTCAAAATTATGATTTGATCCATCTTGATTATGTTGGAGAGATTATGTTCATAGATTGAATTACTCATGCTATAATTAATCCATTTTTTTACTGTAATTCTAATTCATTTCAGAAATATAATGCAGTTTGTAGGGGAAATATTGATATATTTACAATTGAAATTCACAGGAAGAGTTACTAAATTGCCAGCCACTAGAAATAAGTTCTTTTAATTTGGATTGTCAAAACTTTTTGCTACGACACCACCAGAAGAAATTGCTTTTTTTGGTTTTGCTGGAAGTGTAATCACATGTGCAGATAAACCAGCTTCAAAGACCTTTAACTTCTGGTGTTTCAGCAAATTGATTTTTCATTCCTTTTGAAGGGATAATTGACCTCAGAGCCAATGTTTAATTAGCTCAGCCTCATCCAAGTCAGGAAAGCAGCTAAAAAGAGAAAGAGCCAGGCCTTTGCTGATCAGCTGAAGTTAACCATTATGGATGGAGGTGTTTCCTGCAGCTTCCTGCTCTCCTCCATGCCCCACTTAAAGCCAAAGAGTTTGTTAAAGTCACTTTGAATTCCAGGGATATTTCTGTTTCATGTTTGCTCCTGGTCTGCCAAAATTCCACAAGTTTCCAAGAAAAGGAGAAAATGGTTCTGGAGTCAGGTGGGTTTTCACATCCCCATCTGAGTGTGGGGTAAAATCCTGTTTGTTGTAGGGCAGGAGGGCTCAGGGGCTGAGGTGGGGTCTGATCTGCCCAGGGCTCAGCTCAGAACTGGAGCCAAGAGGGACCAAAACCCTCTGAGAGCTCAGGCAGGTGAGGGGCTGGGAATGGAGAACCAGAGAAAAGAATGGGAATGGAGAACCAGAGAAAAGAATGGGATTGGAAAACCAGAGAAAAGAATGGGAATGGAGAACCAGAGAAAAGGCTGGGAATGGGAAACCAGAGAAAAGAATGGGAATGGAGAACCAGAGAAAAGAATGGGAATGGAAAACCAGAGAAAAGAATGGGAATGGAGAACCAGAGAAAAGGCTGGGAATGGAGAACCAGAGAGAAATTGGGAATGAAGAACTAGAGAGAAAAGGCTGGGAATGGAGAACCAGAGAAAAGGCTGGGAGTGGAAAGCCAGAGAGAGAGAAAGGCTGGGAATGAAGAACCAGAGAGAGAGAAAGGCTGGGAATGAAGAATCAGGGAAAGGCTGGGAATGAAGAACCAGCAGTGGGCAGGAGGTAAAAGCTGTGCTTGGAGCAGCCCAGTCAGGCTGGGAATCACCCTGTCCAGGGCTGGCTGATTGCCCTGTTGGCTGATTGTTGGGTAATCAATAATTGGGTAATCTCCTGCCCCCAGAGCCCTGCCTGGCTCTGGCAGCACAGGCTGGCCCCTGGGGGGGATGAGTCTCTCTGGCTCTCTGGCATTTGATTCAGAAATAATTGCAGTCATTTCCCTGTCAGTGGCAATTTGGGTTTTTCTTGTATTGCCTCCTCTTCTCTTTGCTCCTTTTATTTGTTTATGTTTTATGTTTTTAATCTCCATTCACAAGAGGAATGAGGGAGATTTTGGGTTGAGGACAGTGCAGCTGAGGAGTTCTTGCCTGCAGTGAGGTCATGACCATGAACTTCTCCACGAACATCACTTTCAGTTCAGATAAATCCTTTCTTGCTTTGTATTTGACACGTGCCTCCTTTATTGTGTTTAACAATTTATGTTTTAGGCTGGCTGCAGGAGCTACCCAGGAGCTCAGCTACATTTTGGTAACAGCTTTTTCTCTGTGCAGCTCTTCAGCAGGATTAGAGCCAGGCCGCTCCCTCCAGCTGCAAGTGGCTCCTTTTCTGCCTTTCTTAGGAGCCTGCTTGCTTGGCAGGGAGCTTGAACTGTTTATGGAAGATTATTTTGCTTTAAAAGTTTCAGCACTGTTTGACAAGGGGCACTCATTCCTCTCCTCTCTCTGACCCTGCATCTCAGGAGTAAATTTCCCCCCTTGTCCAAATCTCCGGACTGAACAGCCAGCCAACTTCCACTGGGTTTATTTTCCAAGGTGATGTCTCAGCTCTTGAATTCTTTGTGGTTTTTTCCTCCTGAGTGCCAGACTGGTGTGGTCTGTGTCAGTAGAACACTCTTGTAAGCCAGGGCACAGGGCAAACAATTTGCTTGAGTTCTCAGCTCTCTGAGAACTGCTCATCTCCTGAATGCCCCTGATTTCTCTCACAGATTTAAGATTTCACCAAAGCTTCTAAAAATTATTTGTACAATAGTAGTTGCCCATGTTTGAGTGGTTCCTCAATGGGTTTTAATCCATTTTCATCTGCTCAGAGCAAGCTATATTTAGGATAAGGGAGTTTTCCAGGTCCAGGATTGCGAAATTATGTGAATAGTGTGTGTACATAAAATCTCCTGAAGAGCAAGTCCCTTGCACCCATTTATAAATTACCACATTCTGTGTTCACATGGTTCATTTAGCCCTGTCTTGGAAGTGCTGGAGCTGGATTTGAAGGTATAAATACCTGAGTGTGCAGAGCATCTTCAGCTCCCCTCAGCAGTGACTCTGCTCTGGAGAGGACTGAGCCCTGACTTCTGCCCCACACCTGGCTGGTCCTGGGTATGTTGTAACAGATTTAACCCCATGGGATGTGAATTCACCCAGGGGATTCCCAACAAGGTCGTGGCTGTTCAGCTAAACACAATGGAATAGCTCAACTGGCCACACAGGGCAGCTGGAATTCTAGGTTGGAATGGCAGGTGGAATTCTTGATTACTCCAGCAAATGTTACCAGAAAAAATATTTTTCCCTATGAATATGACCAGTTACCATTATTGGACAGCAATAAGACTTCTTTAGGTACAGCTTTCTTGCCTCTTTCAGCATTCATTGTTTTAATTCCTGCTCTTTCCTTCCACCTCCACATCGTCCCTGTAAAGTGAATTTTTCTCTTTTGTCCTCAGTCTCCTGCTGACCAGTGTAAGAAAATCCATGCTGGTGATGAGGTGATCCAGGTCAACCACCAAACTGTGGTAAGTATTCTGGAAATTCTGTGCTCAGGCTTTGCAACACAGAAAAGTAAAAAAGCTGATGAAAAGTAAAAAAGCTGGTAAAAAGTACTAATTCTTCTCTGCTCAACTATATTATTATTATTTATGTCTTTTTAAACATCATAGTCACTGCTTATTCTTAATAAGAAAAGGCCCAAAATGAGTCCATAACCAGCCCAGAAGGATTAGGCCAAATTTACATTTTGCACAGCTGCTCTTCAACATCATACTCTTCTTATATAAGGAGATCCAAGAATATTTCCTTGAAGTTCTTAGACTTCTCATTATGCACTTGCCAGCTGGTTTAACTTCTCCTCTTGAACAGAATTTTGCATTCTGTTTAATGCAGGATCCAGATTAATAATGCAGAAGTGTTGTAACAGCCATGTATGCTGAATCTGTTGGGGGGAAGATATAAAAATGATGAAAGTGTTGATAGAAATCTGCCAGGGTTGGGGTTTGGGCATTCTTGGATGGAGATTTATTTTTAAGACAACCATAAGCAGGTGGATGCTGAACCTCAGTATTGAAGAATGTAATTTAAATATAATTTAAATAGCTCCAGTGTTGCTGGAGGAAGGAACACTGGTATTTATTATTTCTTAGGGATAACTAGTGATAAGGACAATGGACAATGGTCCTAAGGAACTCCTAATTTAGCTATTTCACTTTGTCCTGGTGAACCCCATCTCCAGACACAGCAAATGTAAAATTAAGAAATCTCTTTCTGTCTGTCACTTGTGTGAAGTGGAAATATGAAAGTCTGGCTATTAAAATCTTATGATTAGAGAGCAAATATTTTCTCTTGAAAAGAAGTATAACTTATTCATTTACACTTTAAATGTTAATGCAACACACAGCTCTTATCTGTATTAGAGAGTTGTCATAGTTACAGGCTGAAATATGCATTAGGCTGGCTTTCTCCATCAAACACACTCTTCAAGTGACAGATCTGATTTAATCTTTACTCCCATAGGTGAAATCCCCCATTCAGCTTCTCAAGAATTGGCTTTTTTAGCAACTCTTTCCATGTCTGTTATTACAGTAGGCTCAAGGTGGTTGAAACTTGTAATCCCTTTCCACCTGAGGGCACAGGACCAACAGCTGAGTCAAGAGCCACAAAAGACTTTTTTTTTCTAAAAAAATCCCCCCCATAATAAATTAATTATTCATTCTGAAGTGTCTAACAAGCCAAGGAAATAGATAAAGGGCACTAGAAACTTATTCTTGCTTTAAAGATGGCTTGGAAAGTCTCATTATGTGTCCAGTTTGGAAAATCAGGCAGCAATAGTGAGTGTTTGCATGGTTCAGAGGTGTGTCCAACTCTCACCCCTCATGGATTAGGAGTTTTAATATTTTAAATATCCCTTAGATCTTCAAGTGTGTTCTTTAAGTCACTTCTGGCATTCATTGCTGCAAACCACTCTCAGCTGTGCTCCTTCTTCCCCCCACTTACCACGTTATCATGATCCATATTTTGCTTATAATTAGCATTATTTCCATTAGTGGACTGGAATTATTCAAAGGCAGCAGCTCATTAAATTTCCACATAATCAAAATTCTAATATTAGCACGACCAGCTCATAAAAAGGGGTGTAACCCATTTGAAAATAATGGCTGAGGGGGGTCAGGGAACTTGCAGATCTCTGGTGTTCCTACAGGTTTTCCAGAGAAGATTTTATTTTGGTTATCCTAACCAAGACATTTGTTTAAGGTTGATGTTTCTGTAGCATTTTGGTACCAATATTTTATAATTTATCAAATATAAATCCTTCAACACAATGTGTTTGGAGGAAACTGTCCTGAAGATGATGATAAAATGTCATTTTATCATTTGTCATGTCATTTAAAGTGCTGGAAACACTTCCCTGGGCAGAGAAAGTATGGATCTCCTTTAGCAAATTCCAATCCCATAGCTGGCTACCAGCACTATTAAATCTGATTTTGACTGAACTAGGCCAGTGTATTTTCTGGATAAATTCATATTCATTTAATGTGATCATCTGAGTTTTAAAACTTTCATTGATGTTCCCACAACCTGTAATAAATTACTCCGGTAGTTAATTATTCTCATTGCTGGGGGGAAAAAAGTCATTTTATTTGTAGTCTATATTTGTCTGGCACAAGCTTCCAGTCCTTTGATCTTGATGTATTTTTATCTCTTAAATTGGAGAGCAGGTTTCTCTTTTAGGTATTTTCAGGATGCAATCAAATTAGCTCATCACTCTTTTTTTTTTTTAGTAAGGTGGATAATTTGAGCACTTCCAGTTTGTCATCCTAACGCATGACCCTCCTCAGCATCCTGTTTGAATTCCAGCTGCAGCACTCTGCATTTCTCACAGGAGTTATGGAGCTGTCCAGGGCAAGGCTTCACTCGTGGGCAGGGCAGAACTGAAAGAGTAAAAATGAGATTGCAGAGCCTGGAGCTGCTCCAGGGCAGGGTCAGGGTGGATTTCAGGAATTGCTCTCCCTGCAGAGGGTGGTTGGGCACTGAACAGACTCCCCAGGGAATGGACACAACTTTTCACAGTTTTACTTCATTTTTCCAAAAGCTTTTCTATGGAGTTGAGAGTTAAAAGGGTGTTCAGGAGGTATTAAAGGGGAGCTGCTTCCAAATTATGTAATTCAACAACTGAAAAGGGGAGAAATAAAAGCTTTTCCACGTGGAATCTGGTCTAACCAAGGAACACTCTGTAATACAATTACAAAGATCAAAGAAAAAATAATAGTACTTTAAGCAAGAAATTAATTAAAGGAGGCAATTCACCACTGGCTGTTAAGATCATTTAATCATCATCCAATTTCCTTATTTGCTTTTCTGCTTTTTCTTGCTTATAAGATTTTTAATAAAACAGTGTAAGAAACTTTAAGAATAAGTTATATATTCTAAATTTCTGCCACCCTAACTCTATTTTTCGCTAAAATCCAACAACAGGCACCAATTCTGCCAATGCCTTGTAGATTTTTACTTCCTTTCCTATAAAATTCTACAGAAGTACCAAAGATGCCACTGTAGCACTTCTTTGTTTGCAAAATTAACAATTACTTTTTATGAGATTTTTGCTGCTTAGTTGTAATAGTAGATTTTATATTGTAATCATTTTTCAGCATAAACTTATGAAAATTAAATTGTGTTAATTTTCCTTTTTAGATAGTTTTTCAGACAAATGAAAAAAATTGAAGTTCAAATAAATATTGATTCTTTTACCTGACCACCTGTAAAATATTTTGTCTCTTTCTGGATAGAGAAGTGATTTGTAAACAAGGGAAAACTGAATTTCTCTGTCTTCTGTTCTTTGTATTTTTATATTTTTTGGTGAGGGTTAGGATTTGAAGGTTATTTCACAGGACAGAGAGCAATAAGAAGGCTTTTAGTAATTCCTGTTGAAAGCTTGATGTTATTCAGGAGCACCTGGCAAAGCTCCAGGAGTCAGAATGTTGTAATTAATCCCAAACCAACTGAGCACCATGGAGCTGATGTGACTGAAAATGGCAAAGATGAACTTGGAATTAATCAGGAACAGGTTTTCAGGAGAAACTGAGTTTGGATACCATTGTCTTGACATTAGTAAGATCTTGTCTGAAATAGTGTGTGATCTCCAGGTCGTTTACAGCTATCAGAGGTGTTCACTTAGATAGGAGCATTAAAAAAATGTAATGGGTAAAAAGGAAAACGTGTCATCTGTCTCACAGGAAGAGGAATTATTTAAGGATTTCAGTTTGGTTAACTCAGCCAACTGGGGCTGAGACAGAATTCCTCTTTCTCCACAGACAGAGGCAATAAAGACCAGAAAGAGAAACAAATCCTCAAGGCATAAAACACTGCTGTGCCAGAGCAAGAGGCCACAGAAATATCTGTAATAAATCTGTTGTCCTACTTGTTTCTTATATTCTCTTGAAGCAGCTGCAGGTTTTAACTGAAGGAGCTGCATTTTCACACTCGAGGTTGTTCTTTGGAATTATGGACCCTGTGATTTCAAGGGCATAGAAGAAGGATGGGGACAGATTTTTAGTAGGGTCTGTTGTAGAGGGGCAATGACTTTATACTGAAAGGGGGAGATTTGGATATAAAGAAGGATTTTTTTGCAGTGAAACACAGGCACAGGGTGCCCAGACAAGGTGTGGCTGCCCCATCCCTGGAAATGTCCAAGGCCAGCTTGGACAGGGCTCTGAGCAACCCACTTGAGAATGTCCCTGCTCCTGGCTCATTTTAAATGACCTTAAAATGTCCCTTCAAACCCCAAATATACTTTGATTCCAAGTACATGCTCAGCAGCCTAATGCCCTTTCATACTCTTCACTGTCAAATTACATGCTTGAAATTAAGTGTGTCAAGAGCCTGGCACAATGAAATCATTTCAGCACTAATTTATTTGTGTGAAGACAGTCATTGAATTAATACCCTCGGTGTCTGTTTGCTGAATTGTAAATATGAGTCCTAATGAGAGCTCATTTTAGGTGGAGGCAATTCTGTAAATGCAGAGCCAGGTCACACCATCTGTGTTTCAGCACACTCTGTGTTGGGAAATGCGAGCAGGGGGGGAAAAAAAAAAGGACAAAAGCTGTCATGAGAATTTGAACTTCTTTCCCCAAAAGATGTCCTTCTGTTTCCAAACAAAGTGCCACATGTCACTTATTCTCCAGACCCAGCCTTTCAGAAGGGCTCAGCAAAGCCTCTCTTCCAGCAGTAGATCTTGCTCCTTCTTGGATTCTTGCTGTGTTTCTCCGTTGGTTAATGAAAATAACTCTGTAAGATAATGGGAGAACATTTGGTTTTAAATCATCAATTCTTGTTAGGAGCAGCTCGAATATTAATGAGAGTGAATCAGCTACAGGTGTTAATGACGAGCTTCCCCTTCAGTGACAGAAAAGTCTTATGATCTTCCAGCACATTTTTGTCTAATAATAATTTCTGATTTCCATCTTAATCAAACCAGCTCTCTTGATTAATTCCCTAATGAGGCAAACTGAATTACTTAAAATATGAAAAGATGGTAGTCTGCTTCCTTAAAAAAAGTTGGGTTTACACCAGCTGGGGTTTTTTTTTAATGCAAATATGAAGAGAGGTCAAACTTTGCGGGTTCAAGTAAATATCCAGATGGCTTTGCTCATGTATTTGAAGAGTCATGAGGGGAAACATCTGTCCTGGTTCCTGTGAGGGGTTAGTGCAGTCAGAGCAGAATTACTTGTTTTCAGGTGCTGTGCAATATAGTAGGATATAAATATTTAGAAAATATTTGGCACAATTGATTTCCAGACCAAATGCCTGAAAAGGGAGTTTTAAACTCTTGTTAGTTATTGCTCTGTGTCTCCCCACCCCAGGTGACGCAGTGAGCAGAGCAGGCACAAATCCCCCAGGCAAATTCAGGTGTAACCTCCCTGCCTGCTGTGAGGGACACTCAGTATTTCTGTATTTAAACTTTTATTATTCTGTATTAAAACTTTTCCATTTTTCAGAGTCCTGACAGGGTTTGGTAAGGCAGTGAAGGAACTGAGGAGCCCATTCCTGCCTTGTCCCCAGAAGTTTCAGGGAAAGCAGGGAAAGGAGCAGATCCCTCTGTCCCCTGTGCACGCCCAGCTCCACCATCTGAGCTAATTTTTATTTTTGAATTCCTACTATAATAATGTGTTTGGAAGCAATTGGCAGGGAGGTGAATAACTGCTCTGGGGGCTCAGACCTCTGGAATCCTCTGATAAACACCACCCTGTTCCACAGTTGAGCTGTTTTCTCAATTCCCTTTCATAGACAAATATATCATGCACTTCATGCCTCTGCAGACACCCAAAAATGCACTGATTTTTTTATATTTTTTGTGTCCATCTGTAGCATTAGGAAGTTTTTGAATAAATTTTTCCTACAGATCTGCAGTGAGTCATCCCCAGGCAGGTAGGCTTTCTTAGAAAAGCATGAGCAGAGCTGGGATTTACAACAATGCTGAAATCCCTGCTGCTGGGAGGATGCTTTCCAAATCCCATTCATGCAAATCCAGATCTTCTGAATGAGAAGGAGCAAAGTCATTATGAGGAGAGTCTAAAGGAGTTATTGGAGAACTAAAAATCACTGCTTTGCTGTTAATGAAAATGGGTTATGCCTTTCATGTTTTTCTCAACATATTAGTTAAGGAGTCCCAGCTACAAAATTATCAGGTTTGGGTCTACAAAATTACCTCAGCATTGTGGAATTTCCTGGTAAAGGAATTTATTGCTTTAGCAATTAATATTTTTGGAACTAATTTTTTAAAAGTTGCTATATTCTTAACTTTCCACCATATAGTTTCTATGATAAAACTAACAAATCCTTTAATACAGACAGGAGGCCACAGGTTTCTTTTGTCTGATTTTGTTTTTCAACATTGAGGATGTAAAAACAAAAATTAATAATTGTGGCAATCTTAATCGTAAACTATGAAAATTTCAAATATCTGTCTCTGACCATTTTGAGCTAATTCTTTTGCATTCTTCTGTGTTTCTGCCATCTTTAGCATCTAAATTAGCATCCATTTTCATTTATGGAGGAAAATGAAAAGTATCACATTGGTCTTTTATTTCTTCATCGATCTAATGTGCATTTACCTTTGCTGAAATATCTCAACCCATTTTGTAGAATTCAATTTTGACTGTATGTTCTAAAAATCTTAAAGGAGCAAAACACCTATGTGGAGAATGCATCTTATCAGAGCTAGAAATCAGTAATTGCTTTAAAGACTGATTCTTTAGGAGTAAATGTCAAAATCTGACTCAAGGACTGGTGATCAACCAAGATTTTTAATCCACTGTAATGACTTCTCTTTTTTCAAAGCTATTTTTAGTAATACAATTTATAATAAGTTGTCCAAATTCCTGAGAGCATTTTATCATTGCCCAGTAGTAATGAGTGCAGACGGTGCTCTGATAGATCTTGGTATTTAATGGTTTTGTCATTAAGGTTCTCATTGGAATAATTTATCCTTCACTTAATTATTTATAATTCTTTTCTAAAAGGAGCCCATGGAACTCTAAGGATTTCGGCAATCTGAAAATTACATCAATCGATAAAAATCAGAGAGAGTTCCACTTGATTTCTATAATTAAGTAAAAGAGGAAAAGAAATATGGCCCCTGTGCTTTTATAAACACTGGAGGAGTTTTTTGGGATGCAAGCTGCCATCCTTGCATTTGTCTGGATGTGCCCTATTTACAATTCCTGCTGTTGTCTGGTTTCCTGTGACCAGTGCATTTTTAGAAAGTTTTCAATAGAACAGCAGCATTAAAAATAGAACAGAACTTTTAAAAGCTTTTAAAAATCCCTTTTGGAATTCCAACACATCTTGCAGTTCTGTCCCAGGTGGATGCTCACAGTGGGATCCTGGCTTTGGCCCTCTGTGGAGGCAGCTTGGAACCTGACAGTCATATCCCAAATTCTCTCCAGCCCTTAGAAACCATTTTTGTTCCAATCTCTTGGAGGTTGTTTTCTATTTTCCCTTCACCTTTTTGTGTAATCAGATATTATCTCCCACTAAGAGGAAGTCATTACAAACTCCACCTGATATAACAAGGGGGTGAATGCAGATGTTCTGTGCCTGAGCACCTAAATAATTTATTGTCCTGCTTTTTAATAGCAGTGGGAATTCACTTTGGTCAGAAGAGAAACTATGATTAAAATGTTATTATGAACCCTGACAGGTAAAACATGGCCAGTATAAAAATATTTACTGCTTGCATGTGTTGGTGCTGTTCTGGGATTCACTGAACTTTTCATTCTCACAGGTTCATGTCAGGGCTGGTGCAGCTGCATGGGAGGGTTGTGTCTGGGAATTGCAGACACAGCATCCCAATTCCTGCAGTGCAGCTCTGTCAGATTTGTGGCAGTCACAGCATTTACGGCAAGTCTTTAGCATGGCCATGAACTGCTCTAAAAATCTGCTCTGAGTGGGACAGAAAAGGCAGGGGAAAGAGAAAAGCCCTAAAAATAAATTTTCTGGCTTTTTGTATAAATAATTTGTAATAATATAATAATTCATAAATTCCTATTTAAATGATCAAATTGATTAAGAAATGTCTCTAAGTATTTTTTTTTTCTGAGTGGCACATCCTTACAGTACCAGTGATTTCCTTTTTTGTGGCTCTGTTTGCAATTTACAGTAACTTGGAGGCTCAGCTGTGCCCAGGGCTGTAGAGATAAACCAATAAATGATCATTTATCTCCAGGCAGGGGCTTGCAGCTCTCACATACATGCTGCATTTGTTGTTCCAGCACAGTCTGGCTCCCTCCTCAGCACTCCCTGTTAAAACTCAGAGCTCAGACTGAAATGATTTCATGACTTTAGACCTCACCTTCTGATTTAAAATGTTCCATGATCTCACAAGTTATCGAGAGGGTGACAGTGTTCACTTCTGCCTTATTTTGTTCAGGAACATGGCTAAAGAAAAGAAAGATAAAAATCCAGCTGCAGCAGCATGATTTGAGTGCAACAGGGTTTATAAAAACTGCTTGTGTTTGCAAGGAGCAGGCTGTAATAGACCTTGCTGGTTAACGGAACATTTCCGTCACATTTCAACTTAAATGGAAAGCTTTCAAAATTCAATTATGGACTTTTTCCTTAGGTTGGCTGGCAGTTAAAGAACCTAGTAAATGCACTGTGGGAAGACCCAAATGGAGTGATTTTAACCTTGAAAAAACGTCCTCAGAATACCCTGGTTTCTGCTCCTGCCCTTCTGAAGAATGTGAGGTGGAAGCCTCTGGCCCTGCAGGTAAGTGGTGCTGCAATGTCATGGCAAATCCTTTATTCAAGAGGAAACACTGCAATTTTACCTTCCAGTGAAGGGAACAGGAGCCATCCCAAACTCCTCTGAAGCAGATAAACAAATGTGGCAATGCTCAGGTTGTTTTCTCCATGTTTTGGTGACTCTGGGAGCCACAGGAATTCAGAAAGGAAAGAACACTTACAGAAAGTTTTATGGAGAGCAAGGTTCAGTGGCTGCTCTGCCTGGCAGTGCCTCCTGTTTCCATTATTTCACAGTCTGTCACCTACTTGTTTGTGATCAAGTGTGTCAGATCCATTAAATTCCAGGAGAATCCTGCTCCTGTTGCACACCTCTCGTGCAGGTGGAATTTTTGGCAGCAGGGATGACAAGATCTCTGCTATTTTCTGTGTACTCACTCCTTGAAAACCTGCAGATGCAAAAAAATAAAAGACAGTTGTGAACATCACAGCTGCTTCTTCCTACAGCAGGAAAATCTGAACTCAAAATGTCATTTTTAAAGGAAAGGCTTGCCAGTAAGTCAGTAACTATTGATGGTTGTCTTTAATGCCATTTAACATCCTGTAAGAAGTTGATGTCCTTCCATCATGTGGAAGCTTCTCAGAGCTGTTTTTTTTTGGTTCATAGGACACATGAATGTGTTTCTGAATGATTTTTAAATTAATGAAACAAAAAACCCCTTCAAGCTTATCCAGGCAGATTTCCTCCCTGCCTGGCATTTTCTGAATCTTTCATTTCTCAGAGTTCCTGAATCCTGCACAGTGGCTTCACAAACAAGGAGTTTGTGCAATCCTTGCAGCCCAGGAATGCTGGCAGTGGGATTTAGGGCCACCTTTCCTTCTCTGTGCCTGCCCTGGGGGAGAGGAACGGGGCCCTGGGACCCCCAGAGGGGATTTTTCTGTCAAAACTCTGCAGGAATAACATCCTTTGCTCTGGCAAGATGCTCATGTATCTACTTGTGAACTTCAGATGGAGCCTCCAGGGGCAGCAAAATGGAAATTTCAATTGCACAGGGCTTCCAGAGAGATCCTCTCTTTCTATTTGTGCATTAAAGAATCATAATTCAGGGGCAGCTCTGGATGTGAGGCTGTGGCACAGTGAGCAGTGTGTGCTGTACACACTGCATGCATGGATTTGCCATCAAAAATGCAACTTTTGTTGTGGTAGCCAGAGAATTGAAAGTGCACCAAGCTGCTTTCGTGGAATTATCAACAGTTCTGGTTTTGTGATGTCTCCTCTCCTGATGAGCCCCTGAGGAGCAAAGGGTGCTTGGAGCATCTCCTTCCTGGGGTGTATTCCTTCTATATCAGAGAATAGTGGGGTGAGGTATTTAAATAAAAATATAAACCTCTATGGAAAACAAAACCAGCCCTGCCAGTGTTACTTCTTAAGAATAGATTCTGTTATGAGGCATGGAAAACCAGTTTTAGATCTTTTATTCTTCCTGCCACAGAGACAAGCCCGAGTGCGAGGACCTGGATCCGCGTCAGGGCGCAGGTTTTGGGTTTGCCTGCTTCCCGCAGCTCTCACCTGGATCTGGTGTTATTTATTATTGTCAGTAATGACTTGGAAGCAGCCTGATTAAATTTCAAGATGCCACTGAAGCCTGTGCTTCCTGGACAGCTGACACAACAGCTTGTTGCTGCTGGAAGCAGTGAGCTCACTTCCCTCTCCTGTTGGCTGCACTGCCCTCACCTTTCCGTGACTTTGGCATTTTTCAGACTCTAGAGCTGTGGAATTGTAGGAGAATGCTCAGGGTTTGTTTGTTTGTTGTTCTGGAGTTTCTGCTGCTCATGGGTTAAATGGATCCTGCAGAACAGGCTGTGGGATAGCAGAGAACACAGCTCAGGCAGGAGGGTTCGCAGCGAGGGAAGAGCGGGGCAGGGAACGGCCAAACAGCCCCAAACTGCAGGAAAACACCCCAGAGAAAACCGATTGAGAGAGAAACAGCTCAGCAAAAGTCAGACTGTCACCAAAGAGGGATAACACACATGGGTGTGCTGTATTTCATGGCATGTTCCAGCTCCTGTTCCATACATGTTTCTCTGCACGTGCTGTTTTCATGGTGCACCCCATAGATCCATTCCTGTGTCCACACATGGAGCAATTTTTCCATTCTGATTTAAAATAGAATGGAAATCATTCCATTTTCTGGAAATCAATTTTCTGCTGTTAAAAAACCCCCAAACAACCAAAACAAAAGCAGTACCTATTTAGGGAAGGCAAAAAGGAAATAGGGTTTAAGAAGTTGAAATCGTATTTGTTCCCTCAGGTTGGTGCACAGCAGGAAGTTTTAAATAAAAGTTGTCATGTTCTCTATTGTTGCTTAAGGCACTTAAAGAGGTTATTAATATTTTTTCTGCAATAATTAAGTTTAAAATTATACCACATAGGTAATTTATGAATTATTGATGATACAGAATCTCTGAGGCCTTATAAAATTTATTACTTGGCCTTGTTGTAGTCTTCTTTTGCTTTAGAGGGTTTTCCTTGATGCTGAATTACAACAGCAGAGTTTTCATTTGTCAGTTCTGTGTTCTATTATCTTTCTGTGAGATTTGTGACATCATTTTTTTCCCCTTTTGTCTCTGGCTGACATTATGTGATAGTGGAAGATTATTTGAATTTTAAACTCCCTAATTATTTTTCCACTCAGGACAAAATGTTTTTGCTTTTGTTTTTTTAATTGGCAATGACAAATAGGGCTCTGCACCCTACAACTTCACTCAAATAAAATATAATATATATTTTATTTTTTATTTTTATTTGGAGAACTTTTCAAATTGGAATAATTCTTCCTGTGACAACTGATCCAGAACAATTACACAATTTATTATTTAGTTTAACAATAAGCATAGAGAACTAATATAATTTAGATCCTTTTGCAGACTAACATTCTTATAAAAACATCATTTTTGGTATTTAGGACTGCTTTTACTTTTTGAATCACATAAAAAAATATTTCAGTGTTTACCTCTGGAGGATAGAAAACATTTTATTTAGAAAAAGATTAGTGTTTATAACTTTCATCCAAATTTTGAGTCACTGGCTTTTCCTTCCACCTGTAGAAAATTGGTTGTATCTATTTAAGCAAACTTTTATACATAAAAATATTTCCTATTTCTTGAGTATCAACACAGACTGAACCTTGGTTGAAAAATATTCTTTGCTTATATCTCGGTGTCCTGCCCAGCACATTTGGTTATCATCCTTCTAGTCCTTGCAGACCATTGGCTTGAGCTTCTCTGTGACATCTGAATCAAACAATTGTGTTCAATGCCATGTGAAAGTTTAAGAAGTAAAAATCTTAACCTAAACGATAAATAAATATCCTTTAATTTCTATTTCTTTGCTATTTACCATAGTTTTATAGCCATGGTATTGTATCACCATGGCTATAAAGCCAAAGGACAATGAATTCTGCTGTCTTAAAAAATCAAGATGTTCTGTCCTTGCTAACAATAAATCTTCCACTGAAACCAACACAATCATTTCATTCAGTGCAAGTATTCCAGAGCTCTGTAATTAACTTCTGTATTAATGGCATTTAATACAGTGTGTCCTTTCTCCTCAGATAATTGATTTTCTGCATTGATTAAAGATCATATTTTGATTGAGTCTCAGATTTTCCCTTGAGGTGGCTTTTAAATTAATTTAATGGTCGTTTATCAGTTTCTTTCATAACTTTCTTGAAGTCTAGAGTTTCACTGGACACCTTTTTTGGAAGAAACCTCAGAAATTTAAAAAATGGCTAATCCAAGAAAAGAGGTCAAAACTCCTAAAATTATGCACAGTGATTTTGTTGTTTCTTGTAGCACAGAAAACATTCATTTATTCTTCATGTGCCTTTTTGATTTTTGCAGCCTGTGATTCCAACCAGCCCCACGAGCAGCTCTACAACCCCAACGAGCACGATGGGCATGCCCTCAAAAATGGACAACTCTGCACTCCAGGATGTTTTCATTCTCTCCCCCATGTCAGGACTTTATGGCCCCAGGTATTTGTGTCCTAAGGAATCTGAGGTTTTGAAAAATAAAATTTTACACTTTGATTTCATTAGATTTATAAAACAAAACCAAAACTAACAGACCCATCATCAAGGTAAATAATTAAGAAAATTAAGAGCTAAAAATACATTAAGCACCATATCATTGTTTTGAGTAACTTAATTTTCACTTAGCTGAGAAAATGTGGGTTTGTTCCTAAATCAAGAAGGTATTTAAAGAAGTCTTTAAACAGTTGGTTTGATTTACTTTTATGTGTCTACTTCTATCTTATTCTGAGCATTTCTGCAACGGAATCCCTTGTCTGCTCATATTGAAACAATTCCTTATGTTCTCCTTCAGATCCCAGAAAACTCCTGAATGTTTATCTCACAATTAAAGTGGCACCTAATGATGGTTTTGTTAATCTACATTTGTTGAATTGCCTCACTTATAAAGTGAAGACTTCAGTTGCAAGATTGTTTTATTTGTAGAATTTGGGAGAGGCAGTTGCATGCTGGAAGTTTCCCTTAAATTGTTCATTTCTCCATCATCTTCTTTCTTTAGGGATGAAATTGGAATCATGTCTTGTGACGACATCAGCAAGTTTGGAAAGCCTGGGATGAAGGGCTCAGAGTCTCCAAACTATTTCCTGGAGCACGAGAGTGGGAAATTCTACACTCTGATAGAGGGGGAAGGACACCCCGGGGGCTCCGAGTACGAGAGGAGCAGAGCCCCAGGCGTGAGGAGAAGGGAGAAAACCCCAACCCATGGTAGGCTGCACCTGTCACCCTCCTCCTGCTTTACAAACTCTGCTCTGAGCTCTGAAACACCCCCAAAATCTCATTCTTGTCAGACTGTGACCTGCTGCTCTGAGCAATAAACAGAATTTCACATGAAGGGATAATTAGAAAAATCACACACTAACATTCCTGGTCAGAAGTTATTTATACAGTTATTTTGCAGTTCATTCTCGAACGTTGAATGGTAATTAAATCCATATTATTTGAATAGCCAGCATCTTTATTTACTCAATTTCCCCTCCCAAACTCCTGTAGATTATTCCACTTGCAATGTTCTGGGCTGTTAAACTTCAGTGAAGGAACTGCCTTGTGGTGGGAAAGTGTCTGTAAGATGGAAGGCCCTCCAAAATTCAGCACTGCATTAAATGCATGAGGAGTAGCCCACAATGCACTCATTAGAGCTAGAACTGTATTTCAAAATCTTAGGATGAGGATGCCTAAATATATAAAATGCTAATAAACAATAATTAACTCTGGTTTTCCATAGAAATCCAGTGTGTACACAAACCCCTATTGAGTGGACAGGTGTACAATCACATGTGCTTGTGTACAAGTGTATGGATCTATATTTATGGATCTATATAAAAGGTGTTGTTGAAAATTAACTGATACATTTTTTTGCTTCTCTGTTTAAACTGAACTGCTTGGTATTTAATGAATTTGAGGAAAATACTGCTGAAATACAGCAGTGTATGGGCTGTGCATTTTCAGTTGCTTTATTTTCAAGGCAGTAGGACAATTTTGTAAAGCTTACAAATTTCAGATAGGAGATTTCTTTTGAAAACTGGAATTATGTCTGATTTTGCAAATGGCATTATTTCTGTACCTCGGAGAAAGCAAAGACCATGGTGTTCTCTGTGGGTAGCTGCTATCTTTTGAGATCTATACGGATATTTATTTATATTTGGCAAGCCATCCATAAGTCCTTTATTCCCCTACTCTGCGATCTCTTTTTTTCTCTCATTTTGTTAAAAAGCCCCAACAACTCCCTAAGTTTTTGCCTTTGAAATTTAGGGAAGGGAAAACCTCTGAGAAGCTCAGAGCAGTGGAGGAAAATGTGCCAGTGAAGAACAGAGGCACTAAAACCCTGCTGCAGTTCAGGGGAGAGAGAGAATCCCAGGAGAGGTTCTGGTGGAAGATCCAACAGCAGCTGGAAGGGAGCACAGTGGGGAAAAAAAAGAAAATTCCTAAAGCCCTGCAGTCCCTGATTCTGCTGCTGCTGAGTCTGGTGTGGGGTTTGCTACCAGGCATGTTCTGAAATGCAGCTTCTCTGCCTCCTGCTCTCAGTATTTATCTTGTGTTTATCAGTTACACAGAACTTCCCTCCTGCTGCTGTAATTTGCTGATTGCAGCTGGATTTCTGGTAAAAGTGGCAAGTAAAATGGACTTGATGGTGTGTGTGTGTGTATGCACACAGAACCTTTTCAGGGGAGGAAATCTTAATAAATCTTTGTTATAGGCAGGGTATTTTTAGCAACTGCTTCAGTCATCTGCTTGATGCTTGGAAGAGCTGTGATGCTGAGGAACAGGATTCCATCTTGGGACCAGTAATGTTCACTCTTTATCTCCTTGGGAAGTGACATCATTTTAAAACAGAATTAGAATGAAAGATAAAGAGAAATCTTAACTGTGATTAAAATTGGAGCCAGATGGGTGTATTTGCCTTGCTTTCATAAATTCTTCCTGCATGGTGACTTAAAATATTGGGTTCCCTGCCTGATCCCAGGAGTACACAAGATTTTTTTTTTGTCTATGATGGACAATTCTGATTGAAATCCGGAAGGAATTTGGTTTTGAAGTCTCTGAAATATGCCTTTCTCTCAAATATGACTGCTGCACCAGATTTTTTTTAACTACAGATTTAATTAATCTGTTGATTACCAGACATGCAAATGAAGTTCTACTGTAGTGGAAGGTTTTGTACTGTCTGCCACTGGCGACATCCATCACCGAAGTGACAATGTGTCTTTCAGTAAAAAGACAGGATTTATGGCAGCTCCAACAAACTGATGCTGGAACCACAGAACCATGAGCAAAGAAATGAAAATAAAACTTCTGAAGCCTTTCATGGCCAAGCAGCCACTTTCATTATTGCTTGGGCTGACACAAACTACTGCTCCAAAACTCCAGCCTTGGACCTAGCAGGGTTCCAGCCATTATTAGAAATCAGTCTCCTGTGCAGGTGGATGGATACTCAGCCAGGTGACGGGTATTGATAGCACATGCAAAATACAAGAAGATAAATAATAAATCCATTTTTCCCAATGTATTTATGAAAATTAAGCTTGTTTTTAGCAACGTTGCAATGCATTTTTTGCTTTACTTAACATTATTCTCTGTTATTTTCCTGACTCTAAAATGCTCTGGTCTAAACAGCTCTTGTGGCAATGCATTTCAAATCTCTTCCATTTATGTGTTAGAGGCAAAAACATCATAAATATATTTTTTTCTTTCATTTTATTCTGGTATCCTTGTACATAACAATTTTTTGCTCCTCAGAAAAATATCCAAGCTGCAATGTCAAAACAATTTATAGGTTACTTTTCATTGGGAAAGGAGTTGGAAGTGAAATAAGCAGTTTACAAAATCACTCGTTCATTTGCCTTGTGTGATTCCTGTCCTGAATTTCTATTTCTGATGTCTGTTGTGCTGTGGTATCTGTGTTTGTGTATAAATCATTTCAGAGCTTCAGATCTTTCCTTTCTTTACAGAAAAACTGCTCAGTTTGGTTATGTTGATCTTCACTGGCTTTGTGCCTGTTTTCTTTTTATAAAGTTTTTTCTCTTGTTTCTCTATCTTTTTATATTAGTGATTTTTTTAAATTGAGGTTTTTTTCCTTAATTGATATTGTTCTTCTAAGGATTAGGAGTTGAATCCCATATTTGTAGTTGAAAGTAGTCTCAGGTGTGAGGCAGGCAATGAAATGTATTTTTCCATGGGATTATTTATACACTAAATTTCATGGTGTGCACAAAAATGTAATCTGGGCAAATCTCAGTATCCCAAATGTCACCCCTCTGATTTTCAGGATATCTGGGGGTGCTCCTGGTTTGGTGCTCTCCCATCCCTGCTCGGGTAGGGAATGTTTTGGGCACATCAGGGTCTTACTGCCCCAGCCCATGAGATCCAGGGATTAAACCCCCAGGGCTGAATCTTCTTTGCTGGCTGCTGTCCCCAAACTGAGCCCCAGGTTTTCCTCCTGAGCCAGTGGAAATTAATGTTCCTGGGAATGAGATCCCTCATTTCTCACCCTGGGATTTCCCAGGTCAGGGGGGTTTCTGTTTCCCTGACAGATCTGTGTTATTGCATCTGTATTAATTCTCTCTCTGCTTTTCCTACAGATTTTTCACTTTTTCTGTCTTTATTCCCAACACCTGTTTAATGAGTGAGGAAGTTCATACAGAGCAGAGTTTTCAAATAAATTTCTAATCTGCTTTACATTTACAAGGAATTTCACCAGAGCTGGTGGTGCCTCCCTTGAGGTCAGAGTGATGAAGAGGAGGCTCTGGGACGTTCCACTGATCCTGAAGGCCACAGCTCTGAGGGGTTGTGTCACACCTGGAATTTATTTAATTTACACTACTGACCCCACAGCCTGCCATTCCTAACCTTCCAAAATTCCATTGGTTTTCCTTGCCTTGTTTGCAGGAGATTTGAGGCCAGTCTCGATGCCTACTGAGTACAGCTGGATAGGGGAGCCCAAAGAACAGAACATGTACAAGAGGGGAAGCAGAGGTGAGTATTTTCTTTTCTCTCCTCTTCTCCAAGATGTTTTTCCTTTGTTGCTTAAGGAGCATCACAGGAAAAAAAAATCTTTTCTTTTCTTTTTTAATTTTTTTAGTGTCACAGAAGATCTAAACCAGCCTGTTTAGTGTCTGTGCTTTTCTGTTTCTATTTCTGAAAAATAAAAATTTGTATTAGTAGGAGGAATTTAATTCTAGTCTAAAGAAACATAAACATCAAGAGGAAAAGTACTTTGAAGGCTCAGATATGTGTTAAAAGCAATCAGTTCCAAATCTGCACAGCTCTAGAAAAACAGTAAGTGATGTTGCAGATGTAAAGTAGCATCCTCTGAGAACATTTTGATCAGTGTGAATTAAAATTTGGAACAGGAATCAGCAACTGTACTGTCAGTGTTTAGACCAGCAGTTCTATCACAAAAACTTCCATTGATCCCAGTGGGAATTATGAACTTTGCAAGAAAAGCGATTGCACAGTTTCTTTTTTCCTTTTTTTCCTCTGGCAAAAAGAAAACATATAATTCAAAAGAATATTCTTCAAATATACAACCATATTTATTGTGACACTGACTCTTGAAGATCCTTGAATACTATTTTTTAGAATCTTTTAGACATGGTCTGGAAGCTGAGAGGAGTTCAACTTGACTCCTAAAAATGTGACAAAAAATGAATGATATTCTTGAAGATCAATGCAGGATTTTAAACTACTTTTTTTTCAGTAAGCTTCCATTCCAAGAGAAAATAAATTTCATTTAAGGCACAAGCCTTTTCTGATTTATCCCAAATCTGTTGATGTGTGTTTAGCTCATATTTCACTGCTGCAGACAGCAACAGACTTGTTGCCTGGCCAGCTCCCATTTTGAAACTGTGCCCAAGTTTGCTGCACATCTCCTTAAAACTGTTATTCCAGCTTGTCAAATTCCTTGAAATTACAATCCTGGAGTCTGGAATGGTCCCAGAGGTGCTCCCTGCATGATACAAGCCAGTAATATTTTCTGTGTCTCCTCCCTTTCACCACCCATGGTGAAAGGTGAGATGGAGTGCAGGGAGAGCCCTCACAATTCCCTGGACACTCCCGGGATTTTCCCAGTTTAACAGAACCCAGGGATGTCTCTGCCCAGCCAAAAATATTCTCTGTGGCATTCACATTATCTGGAAAAATCCTTTCACCCAGGATTTTTCTCCTGGGAAGCTGAGAGGCCTCAGAGAAAAAAGGAAAACAATTCTCATCTCATTTGCTTCTCCTGTGTGGAATGTGTTTGGAGATGGTTTACCCGCAGGTGATTGTTCCATTGGATTCTGCTGTGAGTTGTTTTCACTCTTTGGCCAATCAGGGCCAAGCTGTGTCAGGACTCTGGAAAGAGTCACGAGTTTTCATTATTATCTTTTTAACATTGAGTATCTTTTCTGTATTCTTTAGTACAGCATTCTTTAATATAATAAAGTCATAATTGTAAGTAATATTAATTATATAATAATTATGAAACTATAGTAACAATAATAATATTAATACCATCAATATTAATAATATTGATATAAAACTATTAACATTAATATATTATTATATAAAATAGTTAATATATTAATATTAAATTGTATTGGATTGGATTCTATTATATTATATGGTATCATATTACACTATATTAATTATTAGATATAATTATATATTATTATATATTATATTATTGTATATTATAATTAATATAATATTTAATATGAACATTATTATATTATTCTCTTATTATAATAATTATAAAATAATAACTTAGCCTTCTGAGAACATAGAGTCAACAAAGGCATCACTCCTGCCTTTGTTGGGGCATTCCCAGCATTTACAACGGTTCTCTGCTTGTTTCCTCTTCCTAATATTTGTTTTTCCCTTCCTCCCCCTCCAACCACTGACTCTGAGAACTCGCTGCTGCGCTACCTGAGCGATGACAAGATCCTGGTGATCCAGGAGGAGCCCCTGGCGCAGAAGGACAGCAAGAGGGACACGGCCAGGAGGTCCAGGAGGAAGGGCAAGGGGCCAGGGACCCCCGGCTTCCCCATCAGCCCCTCGGTGCTGGCCTCCACCATGAGCATCAGGATGGAGCCGGGGCAGCAGGACGTGCTCGGCTTCTCGCTGGCAGAGAACAACACCGTGCCCCTCTACCACGTGAGTGCCCAGCCTGCTGAGCCTGAGGAGCCTGGGCAGAGCTGCAAGGGTTCTGCTGTGGGGCTGATCCAGAAATCCAGGTGCTCTCCTGTGGGAGGGGTCCAGAAATCCAGGTGTTCTTCTGTAGGATGGATGCAGGCATTCAGGTGTTCTGCTGTGGGATGGATGCAGGCATTCTGATGTTCTCCTGTAGGATTGAGCCAGGCATTGAGGTGTTCTCCTTTTAGGATGGATCCAGACATTCAGAGGTTCTCCCGTAGGATGGATCCAGAAATTCAGGTGTTCTCCTCTAGGATGGATCCAGAAATTCAGGCATTCTCCTCTAGGATGGATCCAGAATTCAGGTGTTCTCCTCTAAGATGAATGCAGGCACTCAGGTGTTCTGCTGTGGGATGGATCCAGAAATTCAGGTGTTCTCCTGTGGGATGGATCCAGAAATTCAGGTGTTCTCCTGTAGGATTGAACCAGGCATTCAAGTGTTCCCTTGTAGGACTGATCCAGGCACTCAGATGTCCTCTTAGGATTGAACCAGGCACTCAAATATTCTCCTGTAGGATTGATCCAGGTACTCAAGGGTTCTCCTGTGGAATTGATCCAGGAATTCACAGGTTCCCCTGTAGGATGGATGCAGCAATTCAGAGGATCTCCTGTAGGATAGAACCGGACATTCAGGTGTTCTCCTGTAGGACTGATCTAGGCATAAAGGCTCAGTCCTCTTCTCCATGTTTTCATGCTGTATTTCACAGTCTGAGAAAGGCTGCTCAGTGTTGGTGTCGTGATGAATTTCTCCTAAGAGTCACTTTTTCAATGTCAGCATCAGGACAGCTTTCTCATCAAAGTCAGGACAGAACAGCAAAACACAAGGCAAGAATCATTTGCTGTCAGATGCTTTAATAAAATCGTGCTCTTAATTACTCATCTCACTGAGTTTAGTTTAATTAGACTGTATTATCTCTGAAGGTTCATAAGGATCCTGCACTCAGCCTCTGATAATGATTTATTATACATTAATTTATAAGCTTTTGTATTTTCACTTTGATTACTGTGTCTTGTAAAAACAGATGAGTTTAATGGAGTTACTGTTTATTTAAATTTATTTACTTAAATTGTGGATTTCAATCTCTCTGACAGAGATTATCAGCATCATAAAGTCAAAGCAAAGGATTTCAAACCTGGAGAGAAAATCAGCAGGCAATTTATCAGGATGAATGAGAAAATTATTATACAGCCCTACAACAAACCCCAACAATATTTCATAACTTGGTAGATGAATCAGCTGGTTTCAGTCAGTTTTTATAATTCTGTTGATGATCTGTTGGCTCACCTGAGTTCTGAAGAGAGGGAAAATAGATTGTTTGTGGTAAGATGCAAATTCCACACTTGATTTCAGGACTGAAGTTATATTTTCTTGCATGATTTCCACACCATAATGCAATTAATTGATGTGACAGATTAGCAGTGTGATATTGGATAATAATAAAGTAAATATTGAAAAATACCTGAATGACATAAAATGTCAACTCTAAAGGGTCTGAAGGAAAAGCAGGAAACTGGAAAACAGGAAGAGCCAACATGAGTGTGTGTTCACAAACTCAGTTAAATGTGCAGTGATTACAGGGGAGGACACAGGTAAAATGATTCTTATGGACTGACAGAGCAGGATTAATTCTTTTATCACCATAAATTCCTGGAGCAGCATTAAAAGAGACCTTTGCATCCTTCAGGAGATAATCACAGGAATCAGAATATCTGAGGCACTTTGTCAACTGCCTTATAAATATACAAGAGGAACTGAGTCGACAAACACACAGAGCTGCTGACACAGATTTTGTGGGTTCTTGCCAGCACAGAATCATTCACATTAATGTCTTTCCACTTGGAATACTGAAAGAATTCTGAAAAGCCAAGCAAAAAAAATTGGGCATATTTATCTTGAAAGAGAGCTACCCAGAGCAAAAATGTGAAATATCAAAGAACATTCCATGGCAGCTTGATAGCAAAAAGGAAAAGTAACAGAGTTGTTGTGTTCTTAGATATAAATTTATAAGTTTTAAGTAGGTCAGCTCATTTCCTTAATATCTAAAGGTGTTACCAGGATTTCCATAAGCATTTTGATATACAAACTTTTCTGGATAATGAGACCAAACCACCTTAAAACAGCTTTTGCTACATTTTTATTTAAAAAGTTGACAAAGCTGGTTTAGCTTTTCTTCTTACTTTTGCTCTGTGTTTTTCAATGGAAGGCAGAAGTGCAGAACTGGTGGAATCCCATTTCCATGAAATCCTCTCCTCTTAACACATGCCCAGTACAACTTCTGGATATAGATCAAAATTCCAGGCCAGATAAATGCTTTGGGAAATGAGAGGATTAATAGGATTTTCATCATCTTTAGTGAAGGGAAGGTGATAATGTTTTGTAATCAAACAAAGATGGCTTGATGGAAGGAGGAATTGAGCATCACTTAGCCATTGCTTAATTTTCTAAGCAGTTACATAAATATGTAGCAAAAAACCCCAAAAAGCCACTTACTTAACAGTAGTTTAAATTACCAGACGTAAGAAGTTTTGCAGAATTGGTAATTGCAGAGATTCACCACTAGATTAATGCTTTGGAAGGAATGTTGATTTGGAACCTAAAATTAAACAATTAGCCTGATTTCATAAGTTGCTGGGAGGATGCAGAGTTCCTATATAAAATGGATATTTAGGTAATGCAATATTGGCAGCTTGCCCAGGATATAAAATGATGCATGAAGCCATGTTGCAGCAAAATATTCCTGTCAAGAAACACTGCCCCCTTCCAGGATATATTTATATCTCTAATTTAATTGATATGCAATGTCACAGAACCTAAGAAAGAGTCAATTACAATTAGCAAGGCTGTTATAAATAATTATTAATTAATAGAGTATCTCTTGGAACATGACTTTCTATGTTTACTAATGCTTCACTTCTGAAGTGACATAATTTACCAGGTTGAACCTAAATATGGGCTTACAAGGATAGAGTTCAAACCTGAATATGCTTTTATTTTGTATTACCAGAGCTCATTCTGCAGAAAATTAACTTAACACACAGGAATCTCGCTCAGTTGACCAGATATACCTGGGAAATTTTCATTTTGCATTTCTGACCATAAAACAAACCACAAAAAAATCTTGGAAAATCTTCAGGATTTTACAAAAAGTTACAGAAAACTGTACCTATCCTGCTGCCCAGTTCCATTTTGCTCTGTGGCAACCAGCTTCCATCTAAAAGGAGAATATTGAAGTTCTCCTTCCAGATCCAGTCTGGAAATCCACACAGTGTTCAACTCTGTGGTTTTATTGCACAACTTTCTGAAGCTCTGAAATTCAATTTGCTGGTTACCACATTAAATTCTCCAATTGGATAATGATCTCTCATCTGGTTTTACTTGGTGATAAATGTTCTGGGCCTATTATCTACAGAGTAATTGGATATTTTCCTTTGTAGTATCATATATTAAAAAACTGGAGAATAGATTGGAATTTCTAATTTTTTTGTCTGTGTGAATTAGAATTCAGTGTGTTGAAAAGACTTAATTTTTAATGAGTTTTAAGATCAATTCTTTCATTTCAATGTTCCCTTCACAGTCAAACAGAAATAATGGCATTCACTGAGAGTGCCAGACCAGGAGTCACTTTTTATTTGAAAGATCATTTGAAGCATGATGGTGTTTTAGGGTTGGTCATTGTCACCCAGCACTTGCTTAACTTGCTTTTTATTCCCTTCTTGCTGATCCCAGGACGTTGGTAACTCATCCCTGTGGCACAGGGTGATGGAAATGCTCTTTCAGTGTTCCTGGGGCTGCAGAGGCAGCTTGACAAACGATGTAAAGTTTAGTGGTACATGCTGGGAATTAAAACCTGTGCAAAAGCAATGTAGAGCTGGGTGTTGTGTAATGGGTGCACACTGGGATGTGCCAGATGTTCCAGATGCTTTTTTGGGCTGACAGGCAGTCTGAGTGCTGCTCTGATAAGTGGAATAATTAAGGTAGTCTGGGAGAATCACACATATTCAGCTCCAGTGACTGAGGGAGGGGCCTTTTATTGCCAATTTTGCAGGAAATGTGCTCATGTTTTATTTATTCCTTCCTGCTCTTGCAGAAAGAAACAAAACTGAGCGTTACTTTCTTCAGAGCTTTATTTCCTTTCTGAATTGCTGAATAAATTCTATCTTTGCTTTTTATTTAAGTATCTGTAATATGGGAAAACCTTCTTTTCCTACCTTGCAGTTATGTTGGGAAATCACTCTGAGGATGGTTGTGCGCGTTCTGGCTGCTCAGAGAAGCCAGTATAAGTAGTTTCTGTGTTCTGTAGCTTCAAAATGAGTCTGCCCAGTTGTACTGATTGGAAAATAATATTATTTTTCATTGGGACTGTGCACATGAAGGATTGAGTTGACAAGTCTCCCTCATACTTGAAGAGTATCCTTGAGTAGCAATGCCCAATAATGTGTTTATTTAGAGTTCTGTTCAGACCTGACTCTCTAAACTACACTATTCATTAATCTGTAAACAACTCAAAGGGGGAAAAGGCATTTTAAAAAGGTGTTTTACAGTATAATGGGAAATAAAATGTTAAGAAAGGTTCTTTTTAACAGTAATATTTTAATATCATCAGTCTTTAGGTTTCCACATTCAGTAATCAAGAACTTAATAACTGATTTGGATCTAAGGAGGAAAAAAAAAAGACTAAACCAGTATTAACCCAGAACTCAGGCTGTCCTTGATTTCAGCCCCTTGCAGAGCTCAGGAGAGGGGCTGGGGCTGTTTGGAACAGCCAGGTTGGGATGGATGTGTCTGCAAACTCAGCCCCAGGACAGGCTGCTCATCCCTGCTGCTTCCAAAGGCTCAGGCTGCCTGGCTGGACTGGAATTCCTTAATTTGCAGTTATATCAGGACACTTTGCACAAAGCAAATACGAGGCTGCCTTTATCCAAACATATGCAGTGTTTTCAGAAGTAATTCTGCTCTATTA